CCTCTTTTGTTATGCGCTTCTGTACTTACCACCACTTGATCTTCTTCTTCTTCATCACTATCACTTTCTATTCCTTCTTCCTCTTTTACACGGTCACCTTGTGTCTTTCTTAGGCGTTTCCATTGTTCTGCTGCTTCTTTTGCTAATTCGAAGACCTTCCTGTAAATATCACGCTGCGCTTGTAGTCGCTCCATATATTCTGGAGTACAAATCGGTTCATTATTCTTTTTTTCATCTAGCCTCTTGCTACATGTTTCATTTATCGATTCATACTCGTGTAATTCTAATGGTGATACCTGTTTAGTATTTTCATTGGATTTTGCTTTTTTCTCTTTTTCACTTTTAATCTTATCCAGTATTTTTTGATTTTCATTCACTTTGGTATGAACTACTTCCAATTCTTTTTGTAAAGTATCACGTTCCAACCTTGCTTCATCCATCTTCTTTTTTCTTTCTTTTAAATCTGTAACTAGCACAGCGTACCCATTTCTACATCTGTCAATCCACTTTTCATCATCTTTTTCATCCTGTGACAACTCTTTGTTGATTTCTGCTCTCAAATCCAAAACTATGTCTACAACTTTCTTTGGTGAGGCGTAGTCTTTTATAGATGTTGATGCGATATTTTGTGGAGATTCATCTAATAAATTCTTCCTATATTTATTTACTACATCAACCACCTCGTCTGTACTAACGTTATCTATAATTGTTGGCTTGGCTATAGGTTGTATTTTCGTTGCAGGCGTTACTTTTCCATTATTTCTTGGCGTAGTGCTGACCAAATCACTACGTGAGTCCCTTTTTGAGATCTCTACCGGTTGATTGCCCAAACCCTTACCATGAATAATCCAAGTATCGTCTGCTCCTTTGTCCAATGCCTTAGCTGCGTCCAACTGATCTTTGTCTTTAAAGTATGCAAGAAATACTAAGTTTTTTCCAAAACGTGCCATTTTGCCATACTCAAAAGAGTAATTTTTTCTAGCTACGTCTTGATAATAATTTGAACGAATTATTTTGTATGCCTTCCACTTACATTTTTCTTTTATAGATTTGACTGTACTTTGTCCTGGAAACCAACGAACTTGCATCGTTGTTTGTTTCTTTTCACTATTACCAAATAAAAGTTGTACTTTCCACGTTTCTCTCACGAACTCACTTTCGTATTCATCAAATAAACTAATTTCAGCTCTTACCGATTGGTATTTATAGTGCTTTTTAATCCTTATTCTATGAACATTTCCTATATTTTTAATGGCTGAAATAACTTCACTTTCACTATAACGCGCTGGTATATCATAAAACATTATGTCACGTGATGTTGCACATACGTCCCTTGAATTTTGTACGATCGGCTGTTGATCGTCCGGTGTATGTAGTGCAATTTCCCTAATCGTTTCTTTTTCACGTTCTCTTTTTTTCCCCTTTTTTCTTTGTTTGTTCTGACTTTTGGTTGGTGCTTTAACATTGCTATCGATTACTTTTTTTGGAACTTCTTCATGTGGCTGATTTTTTTGCTGTGCCTGGCGCAGCCATGAACGAAGCCTAGTATTTTGTTTTCCTATCTGTTTAACGTCATTATCATATTCTCTGTAAGCATATCTCAAGCAACCTCTTAAGAGTAGTTCCACTATCTCTCCCTTTATTCCCGTAGTTTCACTTATATCTGCTATTACTTTGTGTGTTCGCAGCGTTCTGAAAAAAATTTTATCAAGCTCGCCTTGCAAATTTTCTGACGACCTTGTCTCTGCGTTTTTAAAATTTTTATTCACCAAAGTGCTGACTTCCCTTAGTATTTTTGAGTCAAACTCATCCTGGTGTAGATATGACTCCATTTCCTTGACTTTTTATAAGTGTTTTTATTAGAAAATGAAGTATTTTTTAAATTTTTTTCTTCCTGTGAATTTTTGGTCTGAATGATCGTCCGGAAGAGTTCACCATGGTCCCCAAATAAGTACTTTTTTATATTTTTATAGACGATGATGAAATACATAATAATCCAAACCTTCATTCGGAAGAACAAGATGAATTTGAGATTCCTGATGGTTAGTTTCTTAATATTAATATTTTATAAATAATAATATTTTAATTACTAATTGTTGTTTATTTATATACATTTTTTTTTTAGATGGATTTTAAAATTATAATTATATACAAACAATATTGAATATTTTATTTTGAATTATTTAAACACTAAGGCTAGAGTAGCAAAATATTTTATGCATTCCTTAGTTTGTAATGTAAATAATTTTTTTTTTAAATATATATTATGGCTTATTAATAAATTTAAAATCAAAATACAGAGAAAAAAAAATAATTAATGATTGAAACTTTTAATGTGAACAATAGGAAATGTCAATTGATATTTTTTTTAAGTCCGTCAGCAAAAATTTTCTTTTTTAGAAATTTGTATTGTTTGTGAATGTCAGTGTAAATATTATAATCAATTAATGAATACACTCTATTAAGTGTTGTATGAATTAATTCATGTCGGATGGTAAGCATAATGAATTTCCTTGTAAAAATTTAAAAAAATATTTTTTAGTGATAAAGTTTGAAAAAAAATTATTTTTGACGGTTAATAAAACGGATTTGATCGAATAATTTAACAGATTGAATGCTGTTTTTAGCGATAGAATTAAAGATATTAATGGTAACGCAGAAGGATCAAAAGGTAAAGGTAAAGAAATTTAAGACGGATAGTGAAAAATTGAACGTAAATATAAAATGTATCGCGCAAACTCAGGGTGCTAGGGATGACAGTGATGGTGTGTAAGTTTCAATTTTTATATTGTAATAAACTTAATCACAATATAGTTAGGTTTGTTTGTAGTATAAATCAAGAATCTTTTATATTAATTTAGATTTATAGATAGATACTTTATTAACACGATATATTTACGTCGACATTGGTATTAATTACGTTTTGTAACTATGGCAATACTAATAAAGTTAATATAAAAAAAAATATTATTATGATTATTATTTTTGATATTTAAACTATTAATAGTGTAACATGAATTTTTTAGACATGTTTAACAGTTAACCATTAGCATAAATAAATATTTAGGAAAAATAAAAGTTTACACATGAACACAATTTTTTTTAATAATGATTAACATATCGTGTGATTATTATGATTTATTTCGTACACCCTGAAACTTTGTAAAAGAATTCAATTCATACGAAATTCATACCAAAAATAATTCCTTTTGCATTCAATAAAGAAACGAACATTCTTTGGTAAAAAAAAAGAAGAAATATTATCCAAATAATTTATAACGTTAGGATTCATGTATACAATCTCAAGTAATAAAAAACATTTCGATACCAAATAATAACTTGGTGCTCCAATTTAGCCATTAAATGGTAACGACAACGATTATTGTGAAATTTATTAGTCAAGTAACGGTCAAATTCTCGTTATATATGTAAAAAAGTTTAGGAGTTATTGGAATACTGCGGTGACCAATAGGAATTAATGCTACTAATACTGATTTCAATATTGGATGTCTTAATCCCGCTCGACTGAACAATAATAGTAATTATTAAAAAAATATAAAACGTCATGATATTGCTGCATCATAAATTTTCAGGAAAGATTTTATATCGCCGTCTTTAATCATTTCAAAAAGTTTTGTATAGTAAGTGATAAATGTTGTATGTTACATTACATGCAAAGTAAATTTTTTGGAGTTACAGTTCATAATTTTTTACAAAACAAAATTAAATAAGCCGAAATTTTACCTTTGACGTGTCATTGGTGTACCATCTATCACCTTATTTTGAAACTCGTAACTATTATAATAAAAAATATAGATAAAATTATGTTCTGACATCTCTCTAATAAAAAATAAAAAATATTCATTAAAGTACTATATTTCAACTAATTTCAAATTTTACGTTATTTTCAATTATTATTTTTAATTTTCAGGTATCATTACATTTTATTTTATGTGTACAATCATTTTTTTTAAAAAAATTTTTTATATTACATTTATTTCATTTATTTTTGTTTCAACTTTCAAAATTATTTTTTTTTTTCATTTAAAAATTTTTATTTTTCGTGTTATTTGATATTCCATGATCCAATTTTAATCAAAAGAAAAAAAAAATTTTTAATTAAAAAAAATAATAATTTTCGTGATAAATTTTTTGCTTGCGATAATCAATTTTTTTTTAAATCATTATTTTTTTATTATAACATTTTTGTATTTGGAAAATTTTAATTTTCACGCAGTGAAAAAGAATATTTGAAAAATGTCGCAATGACTGCAACGACTGGAAAAATATCACGTGTTTAAAATCGTGTTTTAAGTGACATTATTATTTGTAAAATCTTTGATTAGAAAATAGGCGCAATTCTAACATTTTTATCTCTGTTTCAAATATGTTGTAAAAACAAATTATTAACGTAAGTTAATCATCCTTTCATAGGTAATTTACTGCGCCTCCTTTCTGAAATATTTTAAAATAAATCTCTTATGGTTGATATAGAAAATTGCCTCGTGTTTAAAATAAACACAGTAACTAACTAACTATCTTTAAACATGCTTAACAACTATAATAAATAAATACTGTAACTAAAAATAAAGATACGTAAACATGATTTGTTTAATGCACGCTGAATTTTTCTTTTGAAAAAAAAATTCACATCGTCTTATTCATTATAAGATACAAAGTTTGCTTATAATACTAAAAAAAGAAGAAAAATAATGGCAATAAAAACCATTAACGGATCAAAAAAATTTTATGTATCGAATTGAAATAGTATAAAAAATTTTATCCGTTATTTCTGCAAAAACTCCGTAAAAATGAGCCTTTCACAAAAAAAAAATGTAAATAATTCGATAAATACCGTGATATAAGGTTATTAATTCCAGAAATATTAGCCTTTTACGGAAAGAAGGTGGAATATAAAAATGGATCGACTTTTTTTTACAGGGAGATAAACGAAGATTTCCTATCACATTTGATTAATAAGATTTATAGATAATCAAAGCGAGAAATTGTGATTAGTGCAACGGGATTGAAGCACATATACATTATACAAAATCCCATCATTTTGCAAAGTTTTGATAAGTTCATAATTCTCGTTTATTGATATTTGGTTTTTTTCACTTTAGCGGTTCGATTTGATATTGGGTGGGAAATTGAATTACCAAAATACTGTCCTATGATCATTAGGGAATTTTTGGGACGAAGTTACTAACTGTAATCGTACGTAAGGCATTTTAACAACCTTGATAACTTGAGAGATCACAAAAGGGACGAGATTTTCATTCATATTGAGTGAAATATTTTCGTTATTATTAGGATGACAACCCGCTGACAACGTGATCAACATTCGTGTAATGCGCGTAATGATTAATTGATTATAGCGCGTAAACAATCTTATATCATATAATAATAATGACACTCAGTATATATTTTAATGAGAAATAAATAACTTTCGAAATTTTTTTCCTTTTAATATTATTTTTTTTTTAATACAATATTTGTTATTATTTCTCTAATATTTATCATTTCCTTCATTATTCATAATTTTTCTTTTAATATTTATCATATCTTTCTCAAACTTATATTTTTATATACAAAAAGCCTTAGAAAGAAGACTTCTACTTAATATCAAACAATGAAGATAAATTTATTGGGCTTTTTATTGTTTTGGTAAGTGGAAATGACTAAGCTGGGATGTATAAGGGAATTGTGCACCTAGAGTGCTTTGGTTATCCTCCTCTTCTAGAAGTCTGGTTACCTTAATGAGAAAAATAATGGAAAAATAATAATATCTCAAGCTATGTCGCAGACTTCTGTATGTGGGGCCCTTCCCTTTGGTGGTGGGTCTCATGTCTTATTATCAATATGACAGTACCTCTGCACGAGTTTGATCACTCACGATATATCGTTAATGTCAGTTGATAATAGGCATGGGGGCTTGAATCTGTCTTTTCTACAAAGCTTACTTAGAGTACTCGAGTCTTCTAATATATTTTTACCATATATTTTATTTTTTAGATTACTTAGGCAATAAATAACCTAACAAGAAAGTTTTGGATATCTTAATTTGAGGATCAGATGATTAAATTTCATTTTTTTAAAAAATGAATTTTATTATTGAAATAACGTGAGTTTTTTTTCACAATTTGTGCTTTATTTTGTAATTATTAATATATTAATAAATAATTCAAATATTATTTTAATATTTATGTAAATTTTTATTCATTTTATTTTTGTAAAAGTACTTCAAAAAAACATATCAAAGTAGGAAGAAAGATTCATTCAATTAGATATTATGTCAACAATTTTTTGTCGTAAAAAGGTCATGTAATGATTAATTTTTAAGGAAATAAAGTCAAATTTTGTAAGGCAATTACATTATTTTATTGCTATCAAATGGATTTTACGAGTATTGTGCAAGCAATATTAAAAACTAATATTAATTTGCCTTATTTGAAAGGCTCTCATTTAATTTTCGTTATAATGAATCCATTAATTATAGATATGTTCTTTACAGCATAAACTCGTACATTGCAATATTCAAAACTTGTTTATTCAAAAGCAGAATAAAGCGTAGCTGACTGATCAACAGAATAATCACGTTTTATCAACACGTGATTATTTTTGTACGAACGTAAGTTCTTTGTCATCTTAAACAGTTGTGTAAAATCTTGCACTTTTTTTTTTAATAAAACTATCTAAAAAATAGTTTTGTTACGTAAAATACTACCATTGTATTAAAAGACCGTTGTTTCCATTTTAGAAAAGACTTTAGAACATTTATGAATGAAAATGTGCACATTATATTATAAAAGATATAGAAGTCCAATGAATAAACTTATTAAAATTCTCGGAGTACTTTGATTTTCATATGTAAATAATAGAAAAAAGAAACAAAGAAGTTTAAAAAATAAAACGTTTTATATAAATACAATCGGTTTATTTACTAGTTTAATATGTTGGATGTAATTTCATGGCAATCGATACTCGCGTTGTGGTTGGTTTAGGTAAAGCATAATATTAATGCCAAATTAATTAATTGCATTAATATAATCCGTAGATTTTGGAATCATTTATTCGGTAAATAAATATACTTTTGTTACGTTACGTTAGAATTGTTACTATATGAAAGAATTTTTCTTTTTGATAGAGATTTTCTTTATGTCATGTGTATGATAATGATCTAACGAACATTATAACATAATACTGAATGGCCTGGGCCCTGGAGCGACGGGGAAACTCAAAACAAATACAGCACTTTGATATGATGATGACTTTGAAGAGGTTGAATTTTGGGGTTATCCGGCCTTGTTCAAGAAAAGTACAGATGATAATAATAACAAAACAATGATACTCTTTTTGTATCCGTTTTATGTTGACATATAGGATTATACATTTTAAAAGGGCAATTACTGTAGAATTGGAGAGGTAAATAAATAATCGGATTATTTGAATTTTAAATAATCTATTTTAGCTTTAATATTCTCTAATTTTATTTATTTTAGTTAATAAAGTTGAAGAAACAATTCCTGAATACTGGTATAGAATTGACTTTATGGAACAGGTTGTTATTGTACCAGATGAATATTCAGAAATAATATAGCTATATTGAGGGAATGTATATTTAATGCTGGGCTAATTAGTGACAAACGTTCTGAAAGATTGCAATTTACAACTGAACGTATGTTTAACGTTAATTTGTTTATGCTCGTTATTTTTACGACAATAAATATTAAATGTATTAATATGAAGAAATATTAATATAGTAGAAGCCGTGCCAATTTACTGTATGCATAGTAGCTTACTAGCTTTTAAAAGAGAACACAGACTTACAGAGCCTGGAAGTAAGTTTTATATTTATAAATTATGTTTAACATTTAAATTATTCGTTATATTATTATTGTTTGCTAAATATTCATTCTTTGATCAAAGCAACTTTTATGATCGTCGACTGCGGCGATGGTACGAAATACCACAAAATTTGTCCATCATATCCGTCACGTCAATTGATCAATATATCAAGTGTTACTGTCAAATATGATTACTAAACATTGGTATTTTAACTTTTAATGCGAAACTTGATATTTTTCATCATCTAATGATTTACAAAAACAAATTAAAGCTCCGTCGTTAGATTCATTTTAAACTTGGATATTAATATGAACAAGGAATTGGAAATGATAAATTGTATAAAGAAACTGTCAAAGGAGGAAATTGTGGCCTTACATTATTACATAAACATTGTACAAATTATTTGAATAATAATAAATGTTTAGAGGTTAAAAAGAATTTGAAATTCTTTAAAAGTAAGGAATTTAAATTTGTAATTATTATAAGTGAATACTATTTTTAATCTCACCAGAGGCTTGAAAACGGGACCCGGAACCGGGTTTGAGCCGGAAAACTTTCTCTCAACATTCACCCGGGCCAGGTCCGGGCCTGTGTAATGCCGGAATTTACCTAGTGAATTATTAAATGTTGGGCGCAGTATTATACTTAGAATAGATACTTAGAAATTTTATTTTTTAGATGCGTTCGCGATGACGTTAAACTATTGGATTAGTAAGTAGGATTATTAATTAAGTCCAGACACATGACGTTAAACTGTATCATATAGTCCGAATTATTGGATTATAGTTCTTGTAATTTATAATTTGTTTTTATTAGTTTATTGGTTCGTTTTGTTTATACGAAACTGTGAATGTGATATGAATAATAAATTTGAATGTGATTGATTGTAGATCAGATAATACAAAGAACTTCGAAATTGCGTGATGATCATAGTCATTGTATCATCATCAAACATAGAATTCGGGATATTTTTAGTTATTTTGTATATTTTTATAAATTAATAAAACAATGTTTAATGGCGTGATGGCAAACGTGATTTATCGTAGGCACGTCATTACACCGGACACATGATTTTCCGTTAAACCTAGGTTTTCGTAATTCCGGCCAAAATCGTATTAATTCTGGCCGAAATTAAGTTGGCCGATTTTTTTGTTTTTACGATACAACAAATTGATGCCGGGCCGGGTTTTTAATATATTGAGTTCAGGCTGGGCCGGGCACTTTAGGTTAATTTCCAAGTGCGGGCCGGAGACCTCTAGTCTTCACATTATTGTTTTCACAGATTATTATTTTTCTTCGCGTTTTTTGATTTAATAAATAAAAAATAATGATTTAGATTTATTGATAATATATAATAAATAAATAAATTATTTAAATTACAAATTAAGAAATGTGTAAAATATTTTACTACTCTAGTCCTAGTGTTTAAATATTCCAATAAAATTTTCAATATTGTTTGTTTATAAATATAATTTTTAAAATCCATCTAAAAAAGAATATATACAAACAATATAAATTAGTAATTAAGATATTATTTAAACAATATTAAGAAAAATATTAAGAAACTAACCATCAGGAATCTCAAATTTATCTTGATCTTCTGAATGAAGGTTCGGATTATTATGTATTTCGTCATCATCTACTATAATAGGACAAAAGTTTTTAATTTGACATTGCAAAATAAAATGAAATTTTTGTAACAAAAAATTTTATTTACCATTACCTAATTTTTTCATTTGTCGCATTGTTTCTTTCTTATGATCATTTTGAATGTCTAAATTTTAAATAAATAAATAAGATTATAATAAATATTGCTTAATAAACAATTAAAATTTACTGATCTAGAATAGTATTACTTACCATTCTTTAAACTTAATTGTAATCTTTTAAATACTTTAGATAATCTTTTACTACCACCTAAAATTAAAATAAATTTATAAATTTGTATCCTTATTTCAAAAATTTATAAATAAATTACCTTTAAAAATACTATTTATTTTTGATGTTTTATTAATCTTCTGATCGTTTGAACTATTAAAATCTTCAACTATAAAACGAAAATTTGATTAATAATAATATTTCATCAAATGAAATATTCAATAAATACCTACTATTATCAGGAATATTAAAATCATATGTTTTACTATGAAATGCTATTTAAAAAATAAGAAAAATAGGTTATAAATTATTATAATAGTTAATAAAATAACAATAAAAAAGCTAACCTTCTTGTTCTTCTATAACGAGTATAATCATTTAGTAAATTAAAAATTAGTAACGTCATATCTTAATCAAGAACAAAAAACTCAATAAATAATACCTTCTGTTGCATTCTTTGGTTCGGGTAAATTTTCAAATTGATGAACTTTGCTTGTAAATAATCTGCTGCTTATATAATTTATGCTAGTTTTTATTTCAAAATTATTCACTGCTTTTGACTGGAAAAATTCATTTGGCATATTTTGATATGATAGATGAATTTCTCTTATTTTTTTCCGAAGAGATTGTAAATCAAGTCTTTTTAATGGGTCAGCATTCCAACATTGTACCATTAAATTTTTATATTCTAAAGGAATATCTGACATAATTTCTGGTCTCATACCATTAATTATATCCATTGCAAGATTATAATCATCATGCTTATAATCAATAAATGGTGAATATCCAGATGAAATTTCCCACATAAGTATTGCAATACTATAAATATCAGATGCAAAAGTATATCCTTTTCCATTAATAACTTCTGGTGCTATGTAAGGAAGATTTCCATATATACTTTTTGATGATTTATCAGCAGGTCCACAAAATCCAAGATCACTAATATACCATCTATCATTATATAGTGAATATAATATGTTTCCGGAGTGCAAATCTCTATGAATTACCTTTTCAAGATGAATAAAATAAAGTGCGTTAATTATTCCAAAAGCAATTCTAATTTTTTCATTCCATGCAAGTTGAATATAATTTTGTTGTAAATATTTTCTTAAATCCATATCCATTTTTCCTATTACAAGCATATAATTTCCATTTGATATATCATGTGTTAAACCAAAGCAATCGACAATAGAAGTACGTTTATTGCCTATAGTTAAATGTGATTTAGCCTAAATGATAACATGCCATTGTTAATACAAAACCGTAAAATTTCATAAAAAAAAATTTAAATATAATCACATTAGGACCCGAAATATATATGTAGAGGTCAGGTCCAGAAGTGGTCCAAAATACGCATTCTTTCAGGGCCGGAATTACGATAATTTCAGCCATTATCTAAATTAGGAAATATTATTTTGGCTGGGATTATCCATAAAAGGAATGATCTACATGATTTTTTTGACTCATTATACTCAAACTCTGACCTGACCCTTTTATGTATATTTCGGGGTCCTATCACATTTACCTCTTCAAACCAAATTTGATTTGCATTTTCAACATTTTCTAATTTTTTAAGTATTACTGTCATAGTTCCAGATTTTTCTAATTGCTGTTCATTAGAATTCCATTTTACATATCTTCCACCAATCCAATTTGCTGTATAAATTTCAGAGAATCCACCTTTTGTTAGATATTTAATATTTTTTAGATTATTATATGGAATCCATTCAACTACTTTACTTGGCATAAGTGTTTCTAATTGACATTTCTGTATTAAATTATCAATATCATTATTTCCGGATGTCCAATTTTTAAAATTTGCTTTTAAATAATTTCGAACACAATATTCACAATATAATGTAGCTAAACATTCTTGATTACAATTTTCACAAATTCTTTTTATTTCTGAATTATAAAGAATTTTATTTCGGTCATAAGTTTCAGTTATGTAATTTATTGCTTCAGTTTTTTCATCATCTGTAAGAAGTTTATCATCAAGAATAAACTGTTTTTGAAATTCATGTTGTTTGTGCATGCCAATGTGAATATTATAATCAATTAACGAATATGCTCTATTAGCTGTTGCATAAATTAATTCATATCGGATGGTAGACATAATGCAATTTTATTATAAAGGTTTAAAATGAAACTTTTTTTTTGTTTTATTATTAAAATAAATGCAAATATAAATTGGAAAAATTTAAACGAAACAAATTTATAGTGTAAATTAGGGTGGCACCAGGAATCAACCTTTAATATTTTTTCAGTTAATGTGTTATTTATTGTGAGTTGTGTATTTTATGTTTTTGTTTGTAATAATGTAGAATATATTAAGAAAAAGAATCTGTTAATGGATTTTTTTCGCTTATCAATTCTCTCATCCGCTTTTAAGTATCTGCATTATCATAGGATAGAAAACAAGTCCCCTATTTATTTTATTTGGACTTTGTAACGCAAATGTTATTCAAGTAATATTTATTTATTTTTATATATGTACTCCACTTGAATAAATACTCTTTTTTGGTCATGATCTACCCATACAGTAATCATTAGTCATTAGTCATTATTGAGCAGAGTAGCACCACATATATGTAATTTGTAATGAAATATGAAAAAAAAATTTCTTTTTTAGTTAAAATTAATTTGATTTGAAAAAATAATTGATGAGCCCTCAGTAACTAATTTTAAACAATCCCGCAGCCATAATATAATCGATCATTACCGACTTAAGAAATATTGAGGCTTAATGATATAGTTCATTCATTCAAATTGTGATCTACTCATACATTTAAAGGAATACTTCGGTGAAAATCCTAATAATCTTAAAAAATTGTGAAATGTGAAAAAAAAAATATTTTTTTCTCATCAATGAATTTATGTGTCGAAAAAGTAATTAAATTAAATCTGAAAAGGTAATCAATAAGCAATTGTCTATTACCGTCTTAGGAAATATTAACCTTTTTAGTCCGCAGTTATTACAATGTTCATTCATTTAAATAACATCAACATTCTTGTTTACAATTTTCACAAATTCTTTTTGTTCCTGAATTAAAACGAACTTTATTTCGATCATAAGTTTCAGTTATGTAATTTATTGCTTCAGATTTTTCATCATCCGTAAGAAGTTTATCAGCAGGAATAAATTGTTTTTGAAATTCATATCGTTTGTGCATGTCAGTGTGAATATTATAATCAATTAACGAATATGCTCTATTAGCTGTTGCATAAACTAATTCTCTTTGAACCGTAGGCATAATGCAATTTTTATTATAAAGGTTTAAAATGAAAACTTTTTTTTTATTTTATTATTAAAATAAATACAAATATAATTGGAAAAATGAAATTTTTTTTTTTTTAAAAAAAAAAATTTAAATTCAATAAATTAATAGTGTAACATAAATTTGAATTTTGGTATGACCCGAAATGTTATGTAACAATTACACAAACAAGTTTAACCGCAACGTTTAGACTACATGTATAAATAGTTTGAATTGCGTAACTTGAAATCCCATTAAAATCCAAAAAACTAATCCAATTTCAGTTAATGAAATTTTATGACCGATTTTTTTTTTTTTTCAAATATTTTTAGCTTTTTTTGGTTCCTTTTTTTTTCCGTTTAGGTTTAATTTTTTTTCCAAAACTGAAATTGTTTCGGCCGATTTTTTTTATAATCTTTTTTTTAGACCGTATTATTTTTTCAAAATTTTTTTTTCACTCTTTTTGGACCGAATTATTATCCTTTTTTTTCAGTACTTATTTCCTTTTTTTAAACCGATTTCTTTCATTATTCTTTTTCTTTCCCCAAATTTTTTTTAACTTTTTTTATTAAATAAAGAAATAAAATATTGTATTAAATATATTTACAAAATTATTATTTTTTTAAAAAAAATTAAGTAACATGTAGGAATATTGACCGACGTTGATAGAAAGTTGATTAAGGTTTTTCAATTAAATTGAACGCTGGATAAATTTTCAAATTCATAAAATCAAAAAAAATTGATATTTTTCGTTTACAAATTAGATTTAGATTGAATTGCCGATCCATTCGGATTAGATCAGAAAATACGAGCATCGGATTTTGAATAAGTAGATTCTCAAGTAGTACCATATTTTTTTTTTAATGTTTTTCCACTTAACCGTGCACTGTTCGACAGAATACTGGCAATGACTGCTAAGAAATATATTTGACGCGTCTTGCCAAAGCTTTTCTTTTGTATTACCACTGTCACCTCGTTTGGTACTATATGGTTTGCTTCTTCTTTCCGTTCTATTAAAAATGAAAGTAAAAGCTTGATAGTATCATCGTTCCATTGGCATGATTTTTTTTTATTGTTTTTAAGGTCCACCTTAGTAGAATTTTGCGCGTTATCATTTTTACTAAAAGTTGCACTGTCATGAAGTGTTGTTTCCATTATTTAAATGAAATATGAAAGAAAATTTAATATGAGAAAAAAATTATTTTATCAAAAAAAATTTATATAGGTGATCATAGTGGGTAACATGTGGTAGTAGGGTGGTGGATAGTAAGTAGTACGGTATGTTTAATCGTGGGGTATATACGGAAATTTAATAGTAAAATCCAGATCAACTCAATTAGATCTAAATTAATTTTGTAATTGGGTTGGATTGAGGCGTCGACTCAATCCGATCCAAATGAATTTGCAAACACACCCAATATTTTATAATTAATTGATTGAAGAAATTGTTGATTAATAATAGATTATTACAACCAAATCCATATCCGAGATTCTCTAAATAAAGTTTTAATTCAAATGGTTTAGTTAAATTAATAATTTATTGAGTAAAATGAGTAAAATGAGTATTAAAAGAATAATAATAGATGAAATGAACAGATTCTAATACATTTAAGATTGATGTAATATAAAATAATAAGAAATAATTATAAAAGGATAAATCTAATTGTAACAGCCTGTTACGCGTCTTATTTGTAACAATCCCAATTTTATCCAATTAAAATTTAAGATCAGGCGTAATGTAAACAAAAACAAAAGATCAGTCGTGTAACCAAGACAAAAGAATTTTTTAAAAAATTTCAAGAAACTGCTTATAACTTGAAATTTTGTCTATGAAACACTCTTAAAAATTTTATTTGTAAACTATATACTAAATTTATTATTAAAAAAAATAAAAAAAGGATGTTACAAATAAGATATGTAACAGGCTGTTACAAATACATTTATTCATTATAAAATTAATAAAAATATTTGTATGATTTTCATAATATTAAAGTTTTTTCGAAAATACTTCTAAAAAATTAATCAATTTTTATTAATAATTATTTTTTCACAATTCTTTAATTAATCCGAATTTCATTCTACATTCAAACGTCAGATCATTAATATAAACAGCTACATTATTGTAAACATAATTGGGAATTGCTAAACGTCGCCTGGGCTATTGTCGCCTTGGTTTTTTTTCAAATATGTCACATGATGTACAATATAAAGAGTAAATTTATTAATCAGCAACTTAGCTAATTATTGATCGGCCAAACTCAAAATTTTTAAAAGATATTTTAAAAAAAATTTTTTGCAAACATATCTATTCAAAATAATCTTAGCTAATGAAATTTTATTTGCAAATATTAAAATTTAAATCACACATCTACGATTTTAAATAAAAAAAAATCACTGTATTTATTTTTAATGAAGTGATACAAATAAAAGAAAAGACAAGTAAATTACAATGATCAAGAAGAAAGATGCTAATAAAAAAAAAAAATGAAATAACAATGGAATAATGGAGAGTAAAAAAGAGTAATGAGAAGTGATAAGAAACAAAAAGGAGAAATAGGACATGATGGGAGATGAAGAGAAGTGATGGGAGACGAAAAGGAGCGATGGGAAGATGAAGAGAAATAAAGAGAAGATGAAGAGGAGTGATGGGAGACGAAAAAGAGTGATGGGAGATGAAAAGGAGTGATGGGAGACAAAAAAAAGTGATGGGAAGATAAAGAGGAGTGATGAGAGACAAAAAGAAATGATGGGAAATAAACAGGAGAGAAAAAGAAATAATGGAAAATGAAAAGATGTAATAGAAAATAATGAGAGACGAAAAGGATAGAATAATGAGAAGTAATAGAAGGTGAAAATTAATGAGAGACAAAAAATAAAAAAAATGATCATGATAGAGGGTTGGGTAGCAAAAGATAATGATAGGAAATCAAGTAAAAAATAAACCATAAAGTAAAAGAAAACTGAAATTAAGTTAGTAAGAAATGAAATATAAGATAGAAACAAAATAAAAAAAATAAATAAAAAATAAAAACATACTTTTATTAATCGTAGAACTGAAAGAACTAAAAGATCTAAAAAAAATGAAATAAAATTAGTAAAAAACGAATTACGAAAATAATGGTGTAGTTAGCCGAAAAATTCAGCTGAAGGTGCAGTAAATTTTCGGCTAACAACACCCAGCCGAAAAAAATTCATGTTGATCTTGAATATTTTATTGGTTCAACGTCTACTATTTTTGGCTGAATATTTTCTCTAAATACACTTTTTTTAAATAATAGTAGTTAGCCGAAATATCCAACAGGAGTGCAAGAAATGCCAATACATATATAATTTTCCAGGAGACCAAAGCGAACCAGCATGACAAGGAGACAACATCAAAATGTGTTAATTTAAAGTTAATAAATAAATAAATTAAATTAAGGATTTTTTTTTATCGCTACAGCTAGTCCTCAAATGTCACGTGTTTAGACTATTATCATGTGATTAGTTTATCGTTATTTTTTATTAAAGCAACAGATAAATCAGAAAAAACTCTTTCCCCTTTTTTTACGTTTTCTCATTTTCCGCAGTAAATAGCGCATAGTTAATTTTTTTCTAGTTTCTATTTTAAACCTTTGAGGGGAAGAGGCCCTTTAGGGCACCTCGGTCATTATACGAGGTTTATTTCTTATCATAACCCAAACTTAGTAGCTGTTAGGGAATATGTCCTCTTCAAACCACGTTAAAAAAGACTTTTCCTCAGTTCCGTATGAACCTTTAAAACCTTATTTGCAGCTGGACTCATGTTCCGATAGCGGAAGTAATATTACCGAAGGCGGACTTGCTAAGAATAATGTTTTAGATATTAATACACAACCGCAGAAAAATATACCTCAGACTATTATATTCAACACTCTTTTATCTTCTTCAGTACCTTTGGCCTTCTCTTTCTTGAGTATATATATAACATGTAGTGTATGGATGACGAAGTATGTAATGTATGGTTGATTTTAAACCATACATATATGTAAGCATCAAAATCATACATAACGTATGATGAACATTGTGTAATATTTATGTTATGAGAGTTAAATCATGCGATTCGATATAATATAGTTCATATAGTTCTATAAATAGTTTTGTGGCTTACTCTCAGTTATGTGAGTTATATACTTTTTACGTGACGCGTCTGTCAATTTGAAAACTTTTAACCTTCACTCAATTTAATAAAATATTTTATATACAATATCAGTTTTATAAACTCAAATAGTTTCAAGTTCTTATTTTTTTTATTTTTTTTTTTATTCAAAAATGAGTTTATCAGACATAGAATTTATATCAGACAATGAGACTATTAATTCTCAGGTAAAACTTTAGCTTAAACTATTTGTTTTTATTGACATTTAGCACCACTTAAAATATTAATTTTTAGAGTGATGAAGAATGCAATGATGATAATGAAGACTTTCTAGCATATTTTACAAAAAAGTTTTCAGTAAATACTATAATCCATACTTCAGTTCCTATAGAGTATCCAAGAACATCACCAACTGGTGTTGCTACAATTTACAACATAACTGGATGGTCTAATCCTCTTGCTTGTTTCAGTGATGTAAATATATTTTTACCTATTTATTCATTTAAAATCATTTCTAACATTCTTGTTTTATTTATAGATACAGTATTCTATAAATGGATCAGGTGGTGGTATTACACTTAAAGACTGTCCATTTCTTGGCACTTCAGTAAAAAAAAATGAACGTAAGTGCTGAGGAATAAAGCACTGCCAGTTTGCAGATGCTGAATTTATCAACCAAAGCCATCAATGTGTTGATTTTGATTCAGAAGATTTTAAAAGAATCATTGCACAACAAGAAAATAACACAGTACAAAGAAAAACTTGCTCGTAAGTATCTAATTTGTTTATTTAAATTTATCAATAATAAGTTTTTTATAATTACAGTTTTCAAATTAAGTCACAACATTAACTTTCTAAATAATTTCTTATCCTATATTTCTTTTGAAAAGCTTCTTTCTAGCTGCTCAAGAATCAACATGTAAATTTAAATCTAATAATGTGCAATGTACTGGCAAAGCTACATTGAGAAAAGTTAAATGTAATGGTACTTTAGTAGTAACATATATAATTGGATGTGAAAAGTATGTTAGTGGCGAAAAATGGCATCGCTACATGAAAATACCAGATGATATTGATCTAATATCATTGTTGAGAAATTTATTTAATGGATCTCATATAGTAAGTATAAATTTACAATTTTTATTATCTAATTACAAATTATTTAATTTTATTTATTAATTTAATAGCCTGAAATTGAAAATAATGAGTGTAAAACAATTTTTCCTTTAAATTCAAGGAGAAAAACATGTGGTAATATTTTATTATTTAAATTCTTATATGTTTTACATTTTACTAATAAAAAATTTTTTAAAGATTTTTTTCATACTCATAATGGTGGTGAAGTTGTAAGAGGAAAATTATTGAAAAACCATGCGATGTAAAGTTTATACCGCAACGTATAATCATTTTACCACAAAGTATTGACCACGAACCTGATGATCAGGAAGCCACTTCTGATGACACTAAAAAGATCGAATTTCATCACAAAAAAAGGCATTTGAACAATAATTATCTAAACCAAAATTTGGAATTCTCTCCTATAGCAAAAAGAGCGTGTACCTCATTCACTATTTTAAAGGAAAAAGATGATTTTCTCTCTACTAAAATTCATTTTATTTACAGAATATAGATGATTTGTATCTTAGTGTTTCCCTTTCTTTTTTTCTTCTTCTTCTTCTTTCTTCCATAAATACAACAATTTCAAACAATGTGAAACATTCCACCTATGACAATATTTACAGGTGGCAGTGTAAGCTGAAAGAAAAATACAGATTATTTAGTTTTCTTTTTAATTGATTTTAGCTATCTTCATTCGGTTGGGTTTTTAGATAGTTTTTCTTTAATCTAGTTAGGGCTCAATTTATTTGAGCGATGATTCTACATATTGTTATTTTTATAATTATTTTTATTAGTTTAATTATTACAAATGTACTTCTCCTGGCTAGCCTTAAAATAAATAAAAATAAATATTAAAGCAATAACAATCTCCTCTCCTAGATTTCAAGCAAAATCCTTCCAAGAGAAAGAAGAACGTTCCTCTGGTACCGGTAGTATACATATGCTAACTCCATGATGCCTTCTTTTTATTTTCTTATGTAGGATCCCACGGTGGTGTAGTTGGGTGAATTTTAAGGAGTGTATAGTTGTAATTGTAGGTAGTTGTAGTGCGACGGTTCTAGGCTTTTTTTTAGCTTTAGCTTTTTTTCCTCCCCATTTTTATATCCTATTTGGTCATATTCCTATTCCCCAGTGCGTTAATTTTTTTATTTTTTTTATTTCGTTTCAATTTTCTACTAGCTTTAGCAGTAGCGTAGTTTACTGTTGAAGTAGTTCTAAAATGGGAGACGAGGTCCTACTTGCGGGATGTTAACACAGATAATAGTTAGTTTTCACTACTTGTAGTTGTTACTTCTATGGTGCAAGTAAACTATACTCGACAATCACGTGATGATGTTTCAATTTTCTGGCGCAAGTTTTCATATCACGTGATCAGACCTTGTCCAATAAAAAACGAGAATTTTTATATGTTACACTGTTTCGTACATAATATTTTATCTGTTATGTCAAAACGAAAAATTTATTCATTGAAACTCTTCATATTTAAATTACATGGTATTGTTATATATAACAACCTTTTTTCCTAGGTATCTTACTAACTTGTTGTTGTCATTTTGTTTTACATGGCATCAGTAAACGTGTGATGATTTTCTCATAAATCAGAAGGTTTTCTCATTGTTAAAGGAATTTTCTCATCAAATGAATGTGATAATTCGGGCCAGCATTGAAATATCATAATTTCGGCCTGAATTATAAAAATTTTTAGCCAATAAGATAGGGCACGTGTGATTCAATTTGTTTCAAATTTAGGCCGATCATATAAAAATTGGTTAGTTTTAAATGCCTATAACTTTTTATACAGATCTTTTTTCAAATATCTGACCGGTAATTTGATAGTACTTGTCTTGAAGAATAAAACTACCAGTTTATTTTCTTTAAAATTTATTTTTTAAAATTTTATAAGATTTTTTAGTACTACAATTTTATTGTTGAGTATAGTTTACTTGCACCATATTAAAATTTTTTTTGTAATACTCTTATCTACTGAAATAAAAAAAAAAATATTAAAGCAATAACTATACAAATTAATTATTAACATAGTAACATGTTCTATTGTTATCTTTTCTATTGATACATTCTTTCGATTAATACATTTTTCTATTGATACATTTTTTTCTATCCATGCATTCTAATTAATTATTCCCGACCAACTTTCACATACGGATGTTAAATTTCTTGTTCCTAGTTATAGATATGTAACTTGCGTAAGAAACCATAATATTTAATAACCTAATCTTCACATTACTGTTTTCATAGATTATTGTTCTCTTTGCGTTTTTTGATTTAATAAATAAAAAATAATGATTTAGATTTATTGATAATATACAATAAATAAAAAAAAATTTATTTAAATTACAAACTAAGAAATGTGTAAAATATTTTACTACTCTAGTCTTAGTGTTTAAATAATCCAATAAATTTTCAATATTGTTTGTTTATAAACATAATTTTAAAATCCATCTAAAAAAGAATATATACAAATAATATAAATTAGTATTTAAGATATTATTCAAACAATATTAAGAAAAATATTAAGAAACTAACCATCAGGAATCTCAAATTCATCTTGATCTTCTGAATGAAGGTTTAGATTATTATGTATTTCATCATCATCTATAAAAGGACAAAAGTTTTTAATTTAAACATTGCAAAAAATAAAATGAAAATTTATAACAAAAAAAATTATACTTACCATTAACTGATCCTTTCATTTGTTGCATTTTTTCTTTCTTATGATCATTTTGAATGTCTAAATTTTTAAATAAATAAATAAGATTATAATAAATATTGTAAACAATTAAAATTTAAAATAGTATTACTTACCATTCTTTGAACTTATTTGTAACCTTTTAAATACTTTAGATAATCTTTTACTACCACCTAAAATCGAGATAAATTTGTATCATTATTTTAAAAATTTGAATATATAATTAAATTACCTTTAAAAATACTATTTATTTTTGATGTTTTATTAATCTTCTGATCGTTTGAATTATTAAAATCTTCAACTATAAAAACGCAAATTTGATTAATAAATATTTCATCAAATGAAATACTCAATAAATACCTACTATTATCAGGAATACTAAAATCATATGTTTTACTATGAAATGCTATTTAAAAAATAAGAAAAATAGGTTATAAATTATTATAATAATTAATAAAATAACAATAAAAAAGCTAACCTTCTTGTTCTTCTATAATGTGTATAATCATTTAAATTAAAAAAAAAATTAGCAACGTCATCATATCTTAATCAATAAAAAAAAACTTCATAAATAATACCTTCTGTTGCATTTTTTTGTTCGGGTAAATTTTCAAATTGATGAACTTTGCTTGTAAATAATCTGCTGCTTATATAATTTGTGCTAGTTTTTATTTCAAAATTATTCACTGCTTTTGACTGCTGGAAAAATTCATCTGGCATATTTTGATATGATAGATGAATTTTTTTTATTTTTTTCCGAAGAGATTGTATTCAATGGATCAGCATCCCAACATTGTACCATTAAATTTTTATATTCTAAAGGAATATCTGACATAATTTCTGGTCTAATACCATTAATTATATCCATTGCAAGATTATAATCATCATGCTTATAATCAATAAATGGTGAATGTCCAGATGAAATTTCCCACATAAGTATTGCAATACTATAAATATCAGATGCAAAAGTATATCCCTTTCCATTAATAACTTCTGGTGCTATGTAAGGAAGATTTCCATATATACTTTTTGATGATTTATCAGCAGGTCCACAAAATCCAAGATCACTAATAAGCCATCTATCATTTAATTGTGAATATAATATATTTCCAGAGTGCAAATCTCTATGAATTGCTTTTTCAAGATGAATAAAATAAAGTGCATTAATTATTTCAAAAGCAATTCTAATTTTTTCTTTCCATGTAAGTTGATTATAATTTTGTTGTAAATATTTTCTTAAATCCATATCCTCTTTTCTCATTACAAGCATATAATGTCCATTTGACAAATCTTGCGTTAAACCATAACATCGGACAACTTCTGCCCATTTATTACTTATAATTAAATGTGATTTAGCCTATAAAAAATTTAAGAATCTTATTGTCAATACAAAAATTATTCAATTTATAAAATAATTTAAAATACGCACCTCTTCAAACCAACTTTGATTTGCACTTTCAACATTTTCTAATTTTTTAAGTATTATTTCTTCATTTTCAAATCTTATTAATTGCTGTTCACTAGGATTCCATTTATCATAACTTCCATTAATCCAATCTGCTGTATAAATTTCAGAAAATCCACCTTTTATTAGATATTCAATATCTTTTAGATTGTTATATGGAATCCATTCAACTACCGTATCTGGCACAAATGTTTCCAATTGACATTTCTGTATTAAATTATCAATATCATTATTTCCGGATGTCCAATTTTTAAAATTTGCTTTTAAATAATTTCGAACACAATATTCACAATATAATGTAGCTAAACATTCTTGTTTACAATTTTCACAAATTCTTTTTGTTCCTGAATTAAAAAGAACTTTATTTCGGTCATAAGTTTCAGTTATGTAATTTATTGCTTCGGTTTTTTCATCATCTGTAAGAAGTTTATCATCAAGAATAAATTGTTTTTGAAATTCATATTGTTTGTGTATGTCAGTGTGAATATTATAATCAATTAACGAATATGCTCTATGAGCTGTTGCATAAACTAATTCTCTTCGAATAGTAGACATAATGCAATTTTTATTATAAAGGTTTAAATGAAAACTTTTTTTTTATTTTATTATATAAATAAATACAAATATAAATTGGAAAAATGAATTTTTTTTTTTTTTTTTTTTTTTTTTGAAAGAAAAAAAAAATTTAAATTTATAGTGTAACAACAATTACACAAACAAGTTTAAAATAGACATAATAAACTATTTTTAAACATGCTTATCGCTATAATAAATTTTACATTTTCTATAAATAAATACTGTAACTAAAAATAAAAAAACATCTAAGTGTAAAGTTATAAATAATTTCTTTTACTTTGACGAAAGAATTAAAAGAATGGAAAATATTGATAATAGTAGTGATTATATTATCGTTACTTCGTGACTATGATTTGTTTTTTACATACTGAAATTTTTTGTAAAATCAGTAAACCAAAAAAAGTATATATTATGTAAAAAGAATAACTCAATTCTATATATTATTTAAAATGAAAATTTTCTTATATATAATACTAACTAATTTATTAAATTTCTAGCGCTATAATTAGTCAATAAAATAAATAAAAAATTTTGATAACAGTGTTTCAATTTATAAAATTCATAAAATTATGATTATTAAATAGTACATTTTTAGAAGGCTATCTATTTAAAGTATTTAAATTTTTTATAGTGACGCTGGGGAAAATGTTATTAAATTTGTCATCACAGATTGCCGAAAAAACTCATGTGAAAGAAAATTAATTCAAAAAAAAATTTGACTGATTACATGCAAAAGTAACGCGAAAGACTATTTTTGTACCACACTTTAAATTAAATGACATAAATAATTATTATTCAGGAACAACCTCAATAAAATATTTCTAAAATAAGAGTCATTAAATATGTTACTTCCAATTCCCACGCGATACATAAAAATTTTTCTTGTAAAATTTATTTACAATTTATTTAAAAGACCATTCAAAAAATGTTTTTCGAAAAATTTCGATACCACATTTCCATATTGGGTTCCAATACCGTTAGAAGATCTTTTTATTAAATTAGACGAAAAGGTAATTTTATCTTTTCAATCAATTTTTTTTCTTTTTTATAATTATAAATAATACAATAATTGAAATAATTGAAAGATATTATCAATATATCAATACTGATGAGAAAATATAATTAAAACTGTTTATTACCAAATATCATAATTATTTCCTATTTACTAATTAATTAATTAGCAAGCACTACTGTATTTACGCAGTTATCTAAAATGTCAATCTTAAATTGTTACTCAATCATCATATACTTGCGAGTCTAAGTTAAAAAAAGGAAAGAAAAGGTTATAAAAAAATAATTAAAAGTATATAAAATGTCTTAATAAAATTACTTCAGAAACCGTTACAATAAAATTACATAATAATCATAAGATAAAATACAATGGAACCACGATAATAATTTCAATTCACACGCCTCCGTCACAAAAAAAACGACGTACAGTACAGTTATTCAAATTGAAAGAAAAAATGCCTATTATAAATAAACCTACTCACTTTCTACTATATACTCGCCAATAGCAAAAAACCAAAATACAGAAAATTGCAATACTACATAATTCGGGTATAACTGATAAAGAAAGATACAGTAATGTACTTTCATACAAAGAAACTTTATCAAACAATAGGTTTTCCTATTATTAATAATTGTCATATCATTTGTATTACGATCAAACTTCTTTTTTTTAAACTTTTGATGCTTGCTACTCCTTATGGTATATTAAACTCTACCAAGATTTTTATTATTCTTCGTGTTTCATAAATAAAAGGCTGCGATTCAACAATTATTAAAGGATAATACTGTTTACACCAGATTTTTTCATACTAACCTAAATATTGTAAGAATCGGACTTACTAAAAAAAAATCGGACTTACTAAAGAAAATTTGATCGACATTGCATGATGGCGTCCAAATCAAACTTCACAACAAACACTAAAAGGAAAGATCCGCAATAACATATAAATAGATTTGCCAACGTAACATAAATAGATCCGCCAATATAACATTTTGGTAAAAATCATTTTATCCTAGGAAAAACGACAGGTTGTTAAATGTACATACATTTAAGGATACATACATTTAAGGATAATATTTTACCCCATGTATCATAACATGCTTACAATGATTATAATGAGAACAATTAGTTACGCAAATTCAAATCGATTTTGTTATTATCTGTTATTATCAAAACAATAACAATTCATAAAATCTTGTTAAAAAAATTATTTGTTGAATTCTTTATAAATTAAACTTTTTAGAACTGAAAAAAAAATCATTGCTACAGAAAATAACAAAATATTTTAAAAAAAATAAAATAAATAAAAATAAAATAGAATAAATATTCTAGTTATTCCAATTTTTTCAAATATTATAAATATTATAAAACCTTTTTTTATTAAAAACAAAAATTAACAATATGGATGACTCTCTCGATTCTGGTCATTTTGTTGAATATGATTGGCTTGAGACTCTCAATGGCAAAATTGGTGTGTTCGCAGTAATAGTAGCCATAATTTTTGTAGTTATTATAATTCTTACATTCATCGTACGAATCTTTCAATTTCCCCAATTCCGTCAACAATTTATAAATTATTTCATTGATGACAATACTCGAAGCGTTCCCACAAGAATACTTAAAATAATTACTTTCTTACTTCTGACTTTCGGTTTTGTAGCAGTCACTTCATATAATGTTCGTAAAATGATATTTTATCCTCCCAAGTTATCCATGACATTGGAAGAGAATAAATCTTTTCCATCTATGCTCTTTTGTCTTAACACTCAGAATCCTGACGCTAAACTCGAAATTGTAATTGCAAAATATTATGTCAGTTTTGATACTTATGTCAGGAAAAATAATTCTGCCCCATTCATTAATTTAATCAAATCACGAGTTTTTACTACTATTTCTGGAGAACATGGTGATTGTGAATTTTTTAATGGTACATTGTTCCCATCATTTTTGAAGCAGGAGGTTAATGCTGCTGGGGTTTTTGTTCTAGTCTTTAAATCTTCTGATGTTATATTTTTCATGGGTGACACCAACAATGATATAGACTGGTCACGCTCCATTCCTCAAGGGAACAAATTTAGTTATGTAGATGTTTTAACATTAAAAAATATGAGTATGTTACAATATACAGAGACACGCACTAAAGTTTTAAATGGAACCACATATCGAAGTTTTCAGATGGCTTTTAAGGGTCATGTTGATTCTACTGTCAAAGATGAAAATTTGGTTGGAATTATACTCTCTTCACCGACACATATTATGACACAGGTTCTAAAACCATCCCTTACATTATTTGAACTTTTTAGTAATATCGGTGGTTACATTAGCATTTGGGGAGTTTTCGTCTTTCTTTTTGGTCGTGGCAAGATGGACCCATTCGGGTTTGTCTCACGCTTTATATTCATAGAACATGATAGAGCGAAACTTCTTAAAGAATTGGGGAAAATTAAAGATGATAGAAGTGTAAAATTAAATATCTCGAAAAAAGAGGAAAATTTTAATGAATTTAGTAATCTCAATAATCAAACTGAATTAAAAAATCTACTTGCAAAATACTATATCTACATGGATTTCTACGAACATGCTGTCAAAACACTTGACGTGTAATTAATTAGTAAATACTAGTAATAGTAAAAAGTATATAATGTATATAATATTATTTAAAAAAAAAAAATCACAGAACTATTTTAGATATCAAAATTTGTAACACTTGTAAAAAGTTATTTAAAAGTAAAAAATTAAAATAATGTATTTATTTATTGGATGATCATCTGATGTATATTCTTATAAATGATTAATTGTTTATGTACCTATTCTGTAATTTAAACTGAACGGCGGCAACTTGCGCCCGGAGTTAAATACTTATCTTCAAATCTCGTAAATGTATTTGTTTTATTAAAACTAGAATTAAAGTCGCTATCAGAATCGCTACCTGAATTGTTAGAACCGTCATACGGATTGTCTTCATCACCATAATAACTATCACTTGAACCGTTGCCAAGAACCACCAAAACCGCCACTAGAACTCGGATCAACAAAATCTCCAAATAATATTTAATAAGTGTTTCCCTATTTTTTTTTTTCGATTTTCTAATGCTTTAATTTTTTTCAGTACTTAATTGTGCGTGAATTTCATAAATTAATTAATGGGCGTTTGAAAGGTTTTAATTCTTTTCATATTTTTATTCTAACTGAAAAAGTTTTTCCGTATCATTTTCAAAGTTCATCGATCCATCAAATTTAAAATATTATCTGAATTTATATTTTTATTAATATCATTATGGTTTCTTTTTTTTTTGCTATAGCTCGACAATGCTATATTTATCACATGTGTAAACGATTTTTTTTTTAAAAAAAAAAAATATCATATCGAATCATTATTTAGGTCAACTTACGTTATAGAATTCCGTCAGAACTGGCCAAGATAACTCTATCTTAATAAAATATCTGGATGTAACGATTGTAACGTAATAAAATAATCATAAGTAATCCCAAAATAGCGTTCTCAAAGTAATAAAAGCATCGACCGTGGAAAGTGTCAACTTATTTTAAGTCGCAAAAGGATCTGGAGCTCTGGTTGCAGAAAAAGGGGATACAACAAAATGGTCATTTCGAACTTTCAAAGAAGTAAAGGAGCAGCTGGAGAAGAAGAAATTAGTCCTCGAACAAAAAGAAGAGAAGCTTTATTCAAACGGGAATCTTTTGGATCGGTAAATTCGGAAAAGATCCAAGACCGTCACGAATGGGCGCTGGGCGAATTCTTGGAAAAGGAGAAGAATTTAACTAGAGAAGTATTACATTCGTCGGTCGAACCTGATGAAGCGGGAAAAGTTACAGGCGACTTTAGGTACGATCATCAATCACGTGATCCGGAGTCGAAAAATAAGGACCCGGAATGGATGAGTGGACCGTTCGTCAAGACTTCTCGATAAAGAAAAGATATCAGAGAAGGACGTGGTTGAATACATAAAGTGTCGGTGTTCAATGATGGTGACGTGATGGAGTAGATGATCGCAACTTTTGGGATCGGCTATCAAAACAATTAATAGAATGTGAGATTGCGAAAATTGACACTAACAATAGGAAGATGGCGAGCCGTTTGGCAAAAGAAGACAAGACGAAGAGGGTGAATATGGAATAGGCAGGTAGAAAGACCTCAAAAAGTAAAGAAGATTGAGAAAAGAAATAGTATTATCGTTTTTTTAGGTAAAATTTTGTTTTGCTTTGTTTTTTTAGGATAGTTTTCGTGTACATGGGCTTTTTGCTAAAATCGTAGATAGTAAATTTTAGTTTTTACAAAAAATATACTTGGTGTACCACGATATCAAATGTTATTAGCAAAATAACCATTAAAAATTTTTATTTATTTTGGGGAGGTTAATTTAATTTTTTTAGTTCAACAGTATTTTGACTAAAGGAGAAGGTCGGTTAACTTAGTTTAGTGATGGAAAGAACAACAAAAATGTTGTTTAACAGGAGTGATTATTTCTCCAAGAATCCAACACTGAATTACCCGATGATCAGGATGACTCTATTATTGATTCCGAAGAGGTGATTAGACCAATGCGTAGGAGACGCAAGCGGATACCTTGGAGTAAGCATATCAACCCACATTTACCCACCTATTTCTTTAACTTATGACACCAATTCTTCGGGTGATTCCAAAGGAATCGATCCAGGCAGATCGTCCAAAGTTGAAGTGAGTACATCATCTATTCTTCAGGGGAGATCCATATCCAGACTTCCGATCTCTATTTTACCTGATGAAGCAGATGAAAAGCGAAAACATATAGTGTTAGAGCAGTTTCCTTATCTATTATTGAGATACAGTGAGAATTATGGTGATAAATTTGTGTTTAACAGTTCAGTACCTTGTTAATACCATGAAATCGAAAATATAAAGAATGGTAAAGATGGTCGATAGGGCTGTTGTGAGTATTTTGGAGAGTGCTGGGAGGCTTTGTATCAAAATGGTATACCAATAGTATCGGTAAAAGCATAGAGAACGAAAATTTCATCATGCGAAATACGCTGTATGATATCAGGAAAATTCTTGTCGGCCCGCCGTTAAGGCGTTCATTATCAGAGGTAATAGATAATTGTTATTTTTCTCGCCTCTGTGTGATGTAATTTGCGTAACCGATCAACTGATGAGTCAGATCAGTCTGTGAGACAATTTCTCATATATGAATAACCCCAAAATTTTTTTTCTCGATTCATCCATTCTTTTCATACTATTTTAATCGCAAAAATTATGTCGTCTAACGTTGCAAGTTCCTCCACTGGTGTTCCTGTTATTCCTCTTCCGACATTCGAGGAAGTGAAAGGATATAATGCCGTAGAACTTAATTTATTTTTGAAAGAGAGGTTAAGCGACATTGATAATCACATAGACACGTTAACAGCTGAAGAAGTCAAAGGCTCGATCTTTTTTAAATTAACGTACGAAGGTCTTAAAGCTTATGGAATACCTCTTGGAGCTTCTACAATGATTGTAAATTTGATTAATGAATATAAAGGACGTAAGTAAATTTCATTCTCATATTTGCCAATAATGTGCTTTTCTTTCCTGCTTCTTATCATCAAACCGTCAAACCCTCCCAAAAAACGTTCACGTTATTGTAGATCAACCCACTGCTGTAAATGAGTCGTAATAGATTTTGTCAACGCATTTTGGCTTGACTATTTGATAACCGTTCATTATTTAATATTTTCCAGTATTTAGGATACAAACGAAGAAAAATTGATGATGAAGAAGAAATTCAAAGTGATAACTATGATAATGAATCTCTTGAAAAGGTTTGGAAAGCATTCAAGGAGGCGACAATAGATGACAATGTCCTTAATTTGTCCAATGATGCTTCCTATTTTCTGGGCGTTGACGATTACGGAAATCCAATATCTACTATATTCATCCGCGATTGCTATCTCGATTTGTCCAAGATAATTTTTGAAAGTAATAGGTCTCGTTGGCGTATTACCGGAAACCCGGGGATTGGGAAAACCTTCTTCGGTTATTATTTGCTTTATATTATTGCAAAAGCCAATAGAACGGTCGTATACCACCAACATCACAGATCTCCGATTCTTTTCAGCGAAGACAAAGTTTACTGTAGTAAGGTAGACGATATTCACCTATTCAAGGATTACCTAGGAAAAAATGATACTTGGTATATTGTAGACGCTCGGGAACCGATGGAATTTCGTGGAAAAACTATTCTTGTCTGTTCGCCCCAGATGACATACTATAAAACGTTTGATTCACTTGGGATAAATGTACGATACATGCCGGTGTGGTCTCTTGCAGAGATCGATATTTGTAGGGATAAAATTGATATTTTCAAACATCTTACTAAAGAAGAAGTTCAGGCACTGCATTATAAATGGGGTGGGATTCCTCGATTTGTCTTGTTTCATGCACACAATTACAATTCGCAAAAACAAATGGATACTGCAATTAATGAAGTAGAAAAAAGCATAATGTATTTTGTTGGTGAAACCTCTTCGGGCAACAGTGCAAATCATAAACTCGTTCATATCTGTACAAATGTACCAATGAAAGAGGCGGATCAAGCAGAAGAGGTGGATCAAGAGGAAGAGGCGGGTCAAGAGGAAGAGGCACGAAATATACAAAATAAAGGAAAGGGGAGAGAAATTGAAGGTTCTTCTACATCAGCAACTCTCGTGAATTCGGCAGACCTCGCAACTTCCACAGATTCTAAACTCGCTGATAAAATGTCTTATTATAGTGAACGTATTCTAGAGTTTGCGTCTGATTACGTTTCCGAAATGGTAATAAACAAACTTGCTGAAAAACACAAGCAAGAATTGTTAGATTTTGTGAATAGTAGCGATGATTTGAATGAATTTGGTTCACTCCGAGGTACTATGTTTGAGCGACTTGCTCATCGAAAGTTGCTACGTGGAGGAAAATTTAAAGTTCGCCCTATAGATCGAGACTTCAAAAGGAATGATCCAAGGCTTGTACTGAATAACATGGAAAAAGTGTTGTTTAGTGACATTGATGATATTGGAGATGCTACAAATACATCCGGTACTACTAAATATTACATACCAACTCAAAAAAATAAAAAGTCGTTCGATTCTTTTATCCCTACAAACAAGTTCTTCCAGATGACTATTGCAGAGAGACATCCTATCGTCAAGAGTGGCCTGGAAAAGTATATTCGTGGAATAACACGTCCAGATGAGGAGATCAGTTTTTACTTTGTTTTACCTGAAACAAGATTTACTACTTACAGTATTCACACTACAAAGAAAACTGTTATCAATAAAAAACCTGCTTGGTTTGGTCGTTTTAAACAATACGCTCTTGAACTTGACCTGAAGATTGAAGATATATAGCTTCAAGTTCATGATTGTACCTTGACACTGTATATTTATATGCTTAAGTGTTGTTTTTAAAGAAATCCTTTTAGAATGTAATTGCTAAGATTTGTCATAAACATCGACTTCGTGAACCAAACCAAGTTCACGATCTCAAAGTTTAGCACTTTTTTATATACCGTATTGTAAAGCTTACGCATATTAAAAATTTAATAAAGTTTTTTGCCTTTCTTTTTATTAATTCAATTTTTGTGTTGATATTGAAAATAAGCTGTGAGATAATTTGTCATGATTGGTTCTTATGCAAGTCAATTTCGGAAGTAATTACACGTTGATAATACTGTAATTAAAAAGCACTATAATTTATGTACAGTAAGACTCCTCAACATTGATAATGTCCTATTCACTACTTTTTTATTCGCTCAGATATAGCGAGTTAAACATTGTGTAGAAAATTGGTACAAAAACAGAGGTCACTTAGCAGTCTTCAGATGTTTGAATATCACGCCGGCTGATGTCTGGACATCATGTCGGATAATGTTTAGACACCATGTCAGATATATGTAGAATGATATTGATATTCAACATGGTTTGAAAACATTTCCTCTGCTAATCATATTATCAATTTCCTGGATCAATTTTTAATTTTTTATAACTATTTTAGAAACAATTATAAATTGATTACTGAAAGATAAAAAATAGAAATTGAACCAGAAAATTATTATATTTATGAAGAATTAAAAATTCACCTAGAAAATTGTATATACCATAAACAAAATCAAGTTGTATTTGGTAATTATAATTTAGATTGTTTTCAACGTCATACATCCAATAAAAGTGATGTATTAATTTCTATAAATTTTATTTTTATGCTATTTTAATCCACTTTATAACTTTATTTAAATTTTTCCTATAAAAATTTTCATTTACATTATTTTCGTTTACTCCTTAATAGAAATATCGGTCTGGGCTAGTATTGAGCTCATTGTTTATCGTAGAGTAAATTAAAACAGTCGCTAATTTTTTTTTGTCTAAAAATTTTTTTTCCAGTTAGTGATCATCTAGACTAAATCTAACTAGTAAAGAGTATATTGCCACTTACTTTATAAAAATGATTTTTTACTGTAAGTGATCGTACCATGATGAAATTTTATTTTATGTTTAATAGAATATTCGTTCAATCATTCAAATCACACCACTTACATGTTTCATTTTCATATTAATATTTAATACAATGATTTGAATTGTTAATCACCTCTAAAATGCTTGTAAAACATGGAAGGTAATTACCTTGTAAATTTTTAAAATAGTATTTTTACCTTACAGCAAAAAAAACATCCTATTACCAATTTAAAAAATTAAAATTGTCATATGAAGATTAAAACCTGTTATCGTCCGGAGCGAAGCGTAGGACTATAGAATTATTTCCTTCCTTCCGCCTATGCACTTTCTTTTTTTGTTTGCTAAATATATTGTTATCAAAATTGATATCGATCACGTGCTGATTAATGTTTGAAATTAAGAATCTAAACAATGACGCAAAAATTATCATTTTTGATTGGTATTGTTTTTACTAAATTGATATAATCCCGATACATATACAAATTATTATTTAGTTTAACAATTATGATATATTAATAAAAAGTTAATTATATTTAGAACTCTATAATGTCAAATATTTCCTAATTATTTAATTATATCCAATTTTTACTTACGACGTGTATATTTTAATACATATATGTCAAATATAATATGAGAATTTTCTTTAAGAAAAAAATAATACAAAAATATGTTTAATAACATATAAAAAATAATTTCATGTTATTGAAATTTTCAAAGAAGTTTAAGGGCATTCTCAAATCTCAATGGACCGGAAATAAAATTTGAATTACCATTCCTGAACCATCTCATAAAGTTACGCTGATTGGTTACTATTTCTTTTTTTTTTTATATTCCATCAATGGGAATGATTATACTGAATCCAATCACATATAAGTAAACCATTTCGATTTATCATTGATTAATTACTTTTAGAATTCATATTGTAATATATATATATATATTAAAAGAAGTATTTGCAATTGTCTCAAATTTTTATTCCTGCATTGCCATCAAAATAATCAACTATGCGAAAAACTAATACGAAAGAAAAATTAGTTAATTCGAAAATAACAGATGTAAATAACTATCAATTATGTTTGTTCACATTTGATATACCGCAAAATATTTTTAATATAAAAATCATCAAATTTACCACTTCTCACGTTCATATCTTTGATTTTTATTTCAAATCGTCTGATATATTAAGAGAAGAATTTTATTACATCATTGTTATATTTTGATCTTACGTCTTATGAAAAAATAACAATATGAGATATACAATATGTGGACACATATCGGCTATATCAGCCTACCATAAATGGACCAGTAGTGATAATAACGATAAAAGAACAAATTTATGGTGGATTCAATGACAAGTCGAAATTTTAATTAGGATGCATCCTGTTAATACAAATATCGAAGGTATTCCCAATTAAATATTTAGAGGTTAATAAAGTAACATAAATATATAATTAATATTTTGTAATCTATAATAGATTGATTAAAAAGTATGGAAGAAAGGCTCGAAATCTAAAGAAATTAGGGGTATAAGTAATGAATTAAAAAGACTTAAATCCAATGAATCAAATATTGTACCTGAAGAATTTATATTGGAGTTATAGATTCAGAACACATACCATTTGTTGAACATAGGGGAGTAAAATTCGTTGTCCAGTGCAAGAATTTTACAAAGGACAAAGTAAATGGCTCCCTCATTAGAGATTTTATTGTATGTATATTTATGATTATTTGAAATTAAATCTTATATGACCTCAACTAAAGTCAATAATTATTCAGGGAGGAGATGAATTAAATGATTACATGAACATGAAAACATCGATGTACAAAAATCGATTTCCCTATTAATGATGGTATAATCAGGCACATAATCCACGAACGATATTGTCATCAAAGGGACACGTGGAACGATAATGAAAAAAACGAAAACAAAAGCGGTAACATGAAACATAGTTTCTGGAAAGGAGTGGCAAGTAAAATCAATCTTGAATTTGGAACGACTTATTTGCCCGTAAAGATATAAAAAACAATTTAGTTGGAACGAAGATTTATTTAACATTAACAAAAATTAAAATTAGATAATTTATATAGTAGAAAAGAATATGTAACCGTAAGAATATCGGTATCGTAAAAGTAGTACAACATACTAGTAAAGAGCAGATTCAGATAGTGAAGATTTTGATATTGAAATTGATGCTATGTGACATTTTTTGATAAAGATTTTGTTTGAAAAATTTTGAGGATTCAATTGAGACATTTTTTAATAGAGATTTTATTGCAAAACTACTTTTGACATTTAATTTATCTGTAAAAATGTTTGATTACCTATAAAGTAAAAAAATACTTAACATACTGTCATTTACATCTATCTACTGTAAAAGAATATTACATTGAATTTAAATCTCTGTATCCGAAAATAAGTCAGCAATTTCATCACATTATATTATTTTTAGAATATTATGTAAAGCTAGAAATATATTGTAATCTCAATAAGGGACGAAAAAAGAGTCAAACAATCAAGGACCAAGCAATGTGGATGATCGTAAGAATCAAAGTACAACATACTAAATGAAAGGGCGAGATCTGATAATGACGGAGATTCTAATCATATTGATTATGGAAAATTGAAAAATTGACATTTTTTTACTGATGGTAAAAATTATTCAGCATCTAGTGGAAATCATGTTATATTACACCGGGAGATGATAAAGACACAAAGTGAAGTGATAGATTTTTGTTGAGAAATTTTCTAAGGGTTCATTTGGGACATTTTTTGATAGGGATTTTGTTTGATACATTTTGGTAGAGATTTTGTTTGAGTTTTTGATAGAGATTTGTTGCAAAGCTATTTTTTAGTATAAATTTTTTAATGTATAGATTATCTGTAAATACACATCATGCTGTCGTTTGTCCTCTTTTAGATCATGAATTTCATCTACTTACTGTAAAAGAATATTATTAATAAAAAAAAAACTTGATAACGAGCAAGCAGCCCTATTACGCACACATTGCACTGTTAGTTGCACTCTACCTCAAACAATCACAGTTGCCATGACTGTACTTAATATTGAAAATAAAGATACCGTGCTCTTTTCAACTGTCATTGTTGTAATAATAGCTTGTGAATATATACTGTATATATGTTACTCCCACTCATATAACTCCCACACCCGCTCAATCTCAATCAAAAAGACGTCGTGAACAACCTAATCTCTATCAATAACATATAAAGCAGCCCCATTCAATATTAATCATCTCATATAACTGAAGTTGTTTCCATTCAGAATATTGACATAAAACTTGGAAATGCAACCCTTGAAATAAAAAATAGTAATATCCGACCCTACAAGATGTTGATATGATGAAAGAACTTGAAAATAAAGTTTTCGGTTGACCCATCAAAAAAATAAGAATTTTATTTTATTTTATTTTATTTTTATTTCAAGAAAGGCAGGCAACCTGTCGATACAATACAAAATTACAGAGGTACTAATTACATGATAATTAGGTATATAAAATAGACGCGGAATGCACATCCCATACATCGAAACATTATCATGTGGTTTAAATATTGGTGAAAGATATCACGTGAATCGTAAAATCAATCAAGCCAACTTTTACTACTGTACGCAGAAAACCCTTTATTACAAGCAGAGAAAAAATGAACAATCTCATAATATTATGAATAATAAAGTAACTAGTTAACGAATTTAAAAATTCCTCAACGCTTATAATAAACGAAAACTGGCATTCACCTATGAAATTCAAAAAAATTGAATATTAGAAAACCTATATACGAATTCTTTTATTCTTATAATTATGAAGAAGGCAGTTCAATTCTGAACTCAATTTAAGAAATAAATTATATCGTAGCAAAATTACATATAAGACTCGCCGGGATTCTAAAGAAGAAAGTTGCAATAATAGTTTTGTTAATAAATATTACTACTAATTTGACGCGTGAGGAAGAGAAATGAATTAAAAAAGAAAGACATTGAACTTAATTACGGGAATATAAAGAAATTTGTTCCTAAATATATGTATTATGATGGTGTTGAAATGATGAGCAAAGGAAAATTAAAATTTGCAATATACGCACCATCAAACGCTCAGTCTAAAGCCAATCAATGTTTATATTTATTTTATGTAAAGCAGGATTACAATGAGAAGTTGCTACACTATTCTAACAAACGGACACCATTATAAAACTTCGTCCAAACCAACGGTCAAAGGCCGAAGGAGCGGACCCTCACTTGCCTATCCTGGATCCCGACCGAAACAGGATAGTAAGGCCAATCAATATTTTATTTAGTGGCCAAAATTTTCAGACTTATAATCATATCACGTGAAATGAATTTTTATATGGTTAACGCATATATAATTACACTTTACGAGAATTTTTGATGCATAATATCAAATACAGATGGTGTGATTATCTCCAAATCATAATCATCCCAAATATCATCATCCTCAAAATTATCAAATATTTTATCATTGGTAATTTGTATTTTTTTGCTTGCTATTTGTGACATTTTGCATGCGGATATCAATATTTTATTTTTTACTTAATACTGATCGATGTAATAGGGGGGGGATTGTTTTGTTTTTAAGATTTATTGCATTTTATAATTAATAATAATACCTGATTTTGTTAATTGATTACTTAACCAGAAAAGGGCTCTGCCATATGAAAGATAATGATCTGATCTATTATTTAACAGAGAAAATAATCGATTTTTTGGTTACTTCTTTTTTTTTGAAGTCATGTGATAAATGTGGTTAGCTTTAGATCGTGCGCACCATACTATATATTGCTAATCCTACGAGATCTCAGATTTTTTAGATGGACATGATGGACATTAATGATGAGTCAGTATGCTCATTTGATGCACATGAAACAGTCGACCGCACATGTCGCATATGATGAACAGTGCACCTCCAAGATCTGCACTTATTATCTGCAAGGAGCATACAGGGATCGAGATCGGGTCAATTCTTACCAAAGAGTGAAATATAATCGTTATATTGCAAGGAAAAACCACTGGGAAGATCCAATTTTTAAAGGTAAAAAAGTGGGAGGAGATTTCATTGTTCTGTAGAAATTTATAGAGAAACATATATGGGGACAAAGGAAGAGCGTGGTAACAACTAAAAACGAAATGTAACAAAAAAAACCCACATCTCTTTGATGACAAGAAGTACTTATCAATTTCCTAAGGACATGAGTATTGACTATATCCCCACTCCAATTCAACTCTGGATGGGAGGAAGAGGGGATTTGCTTGCGATGAAAATATTCAACTTGTATATTTATAAAAAAATCATTAAACTTGAAAACGAAATATGAAAAAAACAGTGGTGAAAATATTAAATTTATTATTATACAAAGCTATTTAATCTCAAATCTTTAATAATTATTTTTACATGTTGTTATTGTTATTAATATTAAATAATGACTTCAAAAGAATAAAAATGCATAAAGCCTCATTCATCAACGTCCATATTATCGCCGTAATTTCTTGCATGTTCACTAACGATGTGTTGATAAAATTCTTTTGGATACTCTATAAATTGGTAATCAAAAGAATATAATGTTAACCACAAGGTACGATATTTTTTTTAAAAAAAATAAATTAGATGTCAGAACATAACAAAGCAATAATTACCGGAACCTCTAATTGTAAGAGCGTAACAAGCTAATAAAAATGGTAATGAAGATAAAATAAAATAAATATAAAAATAACATATAAATAAAAGAAATTATTTGAAGTTCGTACCATCTTCAACTTTTGCTAGATTTGTTTTTATCCCGTCCAATTTTCTTCCTAAGAGAGAATATCCTGATACTTTGAGGAGATCATAATCTTTTTTTTTTTTTTTTATTAGTTAGTTTAAGATTAAACTAAAAATTATTTATCGAAATCAATAAAATAAAGTTTTATTACCAGACTTTAAACTCCTTAGAAATTTACAAACTTGTAAAGCACGATCATGATCTCCTTTACCAACACTATTAATGGCGTAACGCATCAGCTCTCCTGTTAGATCTGCTATACCTAGAACATAATCCTCAACCGTTACTTGTAAATACTAATTAAATAGAAGAGCTAAAGATATTTAAAATTTTTAAACTTATAATAATATACCGTGAAAAAAATGTATATTACCTGATTACCCGATTTGTCTCTAAAATTTAATTCAACATCATTCATAGAAATCAAACGATTATGTTCCAAATATTCTAGAAATGATATAGCCTCGATAAATTCTTGAATTGCAGGAGAAATACTTTTATGATATCTAACCGTATTATAGTGCGATGAAAAAATTAGAATTTTGGTACAAACTAAATCATGTTAACAAGAACCTATGATAACAAAAAACTTACTTATAATAATTTATTCCTTCTAATTCACATGATACTTTCTGAAATAATTCAAGTATTTCTTTTTTCTTCGTTTCTGCTTCTTCTAAAATCGATTTTAATGATTTTTGGTTTGATCTTAATATATTTCATAATAAATAATTTAGAAACATAAAAATTCAATTTAAAGAATAAAGAATTAAATAAAAAATAATTAATTTAAATTAACGTACCTATGAGCAAGAAATATTAATTTTTTACTCAATCCTGTAATATCTCTTTTTAATTATAATAATCGAAAAAAAAAAGATCGAATTAATGTAAAATTAATTAAAATAAATTTAAATTATTATTTGCAATAATTTTAAACGCCTTAAAACCTTGACTGCTTGACAATTCTTTCTTTTCTATCATACTATCAAATTTTATTCCATGGAATTAAATAAAATAATTAATAAAATGTCTATAATACAAAACCAAATAAATTAATTTTTTTTACTTACATGATGATCTAATGTTACTCGTAAACTAGTAAAAAGAGTTTTGATATCAACATTTTGACCCAAAGGGGAGCTTTGAATTTCGGTTTCCATTACTATTTAGTTTTAAAGAATGATAGTTGATAATCGTCCCCATTTTATGAGTGTCGTTTTTGACATGTGGCATCCTTGATTGGAAGCTTATCACGAGAAATTTAGCCAATAAAATATTATCACGGGTTACTTTTCTATAGACCTGAATTTTGATTTAATTCAATGTATTTTTAAAAATGACTGCCCTTAACCGTGATTGTCTTTGGGAAATATTCACTAATCTCGAACATGATAAAAAATCTTTACACGGAGCTTTATTGGTTAATAGACTTTGGTGTGAAGTTGCGGTTCAATTTTTATGGAGAAAACCTTTTCGTTTTTTATATACTTGCTCTAAATTTTGTCGATGTTCAGAACAAAAACGTCGAATGAAAGTAAAAAAATTCCTTGCGACTCTGACTACCATTCTTGCACACAAACATACAGCAAGTTCAGTAAATATTCAAGACTTGATTATATGGACAACGGCACCTCTAACAACTTTTGCATATACTGATTTCATTCGACATCTTGACATACATGATTTAGTTTGGGCTTTACATGATGGCGTTGAATATCTTCGATCTCAACGATTTTTAATGGATTTTCAATGTAGTTCTAAGCCTTTCTTTTCAGAAATTACTTGGTCAACATCATCGATTACTTGGGCGGAATCATTATTTCAAAAAATGGCTTGTGATCTATGCAGACTTTTAGTGTTATATTGTTCAAATCTAAGTCATTTATCGATAGATATGGTGAATACAAAATGGTCAGAGGATAAACAAAGATGTACTAGTTTGCCGAGTATTTCTTTCTGGATTACCGTAAATGAAATTCCTAATGAAATATTATTAATTCCTACTTATACCGGATCTCAGAATTGTTTATCACAACTTGTCGAATTTACGTGGGGGGCTACTCATTGGACAAGTAATTTTTTAGATGCTTTATCAAAAATTACACATCATCTTAGAAAACTTGTGATTGATATGTCAAATTTTGGAAGGGATGAAAGTAGAAAGGATGCAAAGAGATTATCAACATTGATAAAAGTACAAAATTGTTTACAAGAAATTAAATTTATTAAATGTAAATTTCGTATTTTACCATCAATCATGGAAGGACTTCGAACACAAGCGAAAACGTTGCGTATTTTTTATTTTCAAGGGATAGTAAAGGATTGGAGTATTTTTTCGGAAGTGAAACATTTAACAAATTTAAGGGAAATAATATTTTCTCACGCTAATTTTCAATGTAACGAAGTAAACATGATAGAACAATCATATTTCCCTCATTTAACAAAATTATCTTTCAATGTTTGTTGTTTCAGGGATCAAACCATTCTTCCGGAACTAATAGTACAACATTCAGGCAAGACACTTAGAACATTTACTTTAACAAGATATTATTATCCTGAACACAACTTCATACCTCAAGTTATAACGACTGTCGCAAATTATTGTCAGAATCTTGTTCATCTTGAGATATATGTGGATAGAAGAGAATTTCAACAGTTGATGCTTCTTTTTGCATCATGTCCTCTCCTTGAGAAAGTGAAATTGACTGGAAATCCAGATGTTGCGGATGAATTATTTTTAAGAATAGCTAATCAAGAATTATCGAATTTAAAAGAGTTGTTTATTGATGCTCAATGGCGGTTTTGTGCCAAATCATTAGAGATCTTTATTGTTAAATCAAGGGCACCTCTCAAAAGTCTTGTATTTCGATATTCACCGGATTTTTCTGATGCTCATTTAGAAGTTTTATTTAGATATTTAAAAGAACACTTGCATCGTTTACATATAGGAACTGATAAAAGATTCAGTAAGGGATTTCTTGAAAAAGCAAAAGAAACCATTGTTGATTTCAGATATAAACTCAATGGACAAGTACATGAACCAGTATGGCTATAATGACTATAACGAGACATACAATATGTTTCAAATAAATATATATATATACCTATATAATAATTAATATCTTCATTAATATTTCTTTTTAATAATTAAATTGATATTTTGGGAGATTAAATACACATAAAAACAATTGTACTAATATGTTAAAATGTGAATTTTTTTTAAAAAAAAAAATAATTAATAATACCTTATTTGTACATAGTAAAAAATATAGTAATTAATAATAATTAACAATAAAAAAATCCGGAATCGCGGATATTACATCGTTTACGGCAAGGAATTTCCAATTTAATGATATTTATTAAATGTCCGAGAAAAACTCCGATATTATAAGCTAACTAAATACTGATATGGATTACCTGCATCAGATTTCCCCGTATATGGGAGATTTAAAAAATTGATGATGATTTTAATAAGAAAAGCCTTTTTTCAATGTTTCACAAATGATATTAAATCAATATGAAGATCAATAATACTTTTTTTTTTAGAAAAAAAAAGTAGGGAACACAGTAAAAAATGTTTAAAAAAATCTATCATTTCGAAATGAATTAGAGCACGTGGTGGCTTCAAACAATAACAAACAAACAAAAAAAAAAGAATTCCTTCGAAAAGATATAAAAAAAAAAAAAAATTATAAATATATATTTTTTCTCACTTATATAATTCACTTAACTTTTAAAGGACTGGATAAAGTAAAAAAAAATTCTTTGTTAAGTTCAATCGACAAAAGATCTTTTTTAATTTAAACAATTGCGTCATACCGCAGCGTTGAAGTTTTTGATATTCGCCAAGTAGTATTAAATTTTCACACCATTCGTACTATCCGACAATTGGTTCAACCGCTTATCACTTGGGAATAAATTGATCATTTATAAATACGTGAAACAAAACGTTTCCGGAAAAAGTAAATTTTTTTTGTACAGTTTATTTTTTTAGAATATTCTCCTCGTTGCTTGTGACCCCATTGTTATACTTTTCAGATCTCTTTAAGTGATACGGCAATATAATATTATAATAATGATGAATTTGGAAAAAGTTGAACTTTGTTCACTTTTTCATATACTCTCTACATTATTTACCCTATAAACAGTTTAATACATATATTTCGTTGTAAATGCGGTAAAAAAAGTCAAAAAAAAAATATGAACTAAATAAAAAAGAAAAAAAAAAAAGAATAATTATTTATAACTTTCAAAAATTAAACATTTTGTAAATTTATTTTTTTTTATTTTTAATTATTTAATTTATTTGTGGTTTTTTTTTTAAAAAAAAAAACTTGATCAATATATATATAGAAAAATAGGTCATAAACTTATGCTTATTTAAAGTTTGAACATAAATATTTTGTAAAGCTTTCTTTTCAATCGTTTAAAAGCCTCCAACCTAAACCTTTTAAATTCTCTTTTTTTTTTTAATAAAAAAAAAAAAAATTTTTTTTTTTTTTTTCTTTTTTTGAGTGTAAGAGAACATTTGAAAAAAAACAAACATTAAAATAAAAAAAAATAGTAAAAAGAAGAATTATGAGTGGCCAACTTGAATTAATGTTTGACCTTTTACAGCAAGAGGTTGATAAATTAACCGCGGTAAGTTAGTTATTTACTGGAATTTTTTTTTTTCTAGAATTTCGGTTATAAAAATGAAAATAATAATTATACCAAATATTCTGAACGTTTTTTTTTTGTTTTTTTATAAAATAGGATCTTGCTCGAGAGGATTCAGATGATCTTTTACACTCGAATGATGTAAATCCGGATACTATTTCTGAAAATGATAGTCCCTTAGAGTTAGATGCAAATTTATATAGCTTGTATAATTTAAAATCTGAAATAGAGAGAAGCTTAAAAAAAGAAGATTCGTCCAATCCCATAATTAGCGATCCAGTACTATCAATACCACCTACAATTTCTTTTAACACTCATCAAAGATCTGCTTCTCACAAAGAAATGCGTAATTTAGATAGCACTTCGCTTCATCAAAAATCGAAATCTGTTGATTCTCGTAATGTGAAATCAAAACCACGAGATAATAATCTTTTACATCCGCGTGATTCACAAACACTTGGTATTTCAAACTATCAACGTATTAGGTCTTTATCAGATGCTAATGTTAATGATGTTGTGATGCCTATACATTCTTCTATGCTTTCTCCTAGGACTATGATGGATCCTTCCTCAATTTTAAGTAGTGATAGTGACAATGACGTTAGCGAGTCATCATCAGATGATACTTCAGGAAGTGATAATGATAGTGATTATAGTTCATTGATGGGTACATTAAGAAGTAAATCATTAAATAATTTATCAGATATTAAAAATTCTGCTGTTGATGATCAAAAAACCACCATCTCAAATGAAAATAGTTCCCCAACTTTGTCCCCAACATCATCCCTTGATTTATCAACTGGTAAAAAGAAAATTAAAAGGACTCCGACAACCGGTCGTGGTTTAGGCAAATCACAAATTAAATCGGTCAATGAAACCTTTATAAAATCATATGATACAGATGATGAAAATCGTCCACTAAGTTCTAGATCTAATTCAAAAGCTCAAGATATTAATTTTGATAAACAATCAGTTATACTTCGTTTAAATTTAAGAACTCAAGAATCAAAATATGGTAGTGAAACCTCTTCATCTACTTTATATGAGACTGATGATGAAAACCGTCCATTAAGATCTAGATCTAATTCAAAAGCTCAAGATACTAATTTAGATAAACAAGGTGAAGATAATTCATTAAATTCTACAAATTCACCTGTAAGGACGCAAAGAAACAGAAATTCTATTGATCAAACTCATCGAAGTTCAGGATCTAAAGAGAAGTCATCAGATGATCATATTGAAACTTCTAAACCACCAAATTCGAAAGAACATACTGAAGGGCCAAGATCTCAGGAAAGAAATTCTAATGATAACAAGATTTTCTCAATTAATTCTAGTAAATTAAAAGAAACTGAGCATGTTCATGATCGTTCGGAGTCAATCGAAAAAGAATCTGATGATAGAGAAGTTCTTGGTAATAAATACAGAGGAGAAAACGGAGAAGGAGGACGTCGAATACACTCTCAGGATCATGATGTGGATTCACAGATTAATGTAACTAGTACAAGAGCGATATCAAGGATAAGAGAACCTGAAGATAAAGAACAGATAAGATCTAAGAATAAAGTTGAAAAATCATCAGAAAAAGAAAATGTGAACCGTGAAAATTTAGAAGAGCGAGGAAGAGAATCTAGTAAAAACATTGAACTAGATAATGATCACGATCAAGCAAGATCAAAAGTCCGAGGAGAGGAAGAACGCGGAAGAGCTAAATCAAAAGTCCGAGGAGAGGAAGAACGCGGAAGAGCTAAATCAAAAGTCCGAGGAGAGGAAGAACGCGGAAGAGCTAAATCAAGAGTCCGAGAGGAGGAAGAACGTGAAAGAGCTAAATCAAGAGTTCATGAGGAGGAAGAACGTGGAAGAGCCAAATCAAAAGTTCGAGAGGAGGAAGAACGTGGAAGAACCAAATCAAAAGTTCAAGAGGAACGCGAGAGAGTTAAATCTAAACCACTAGAAGAGCGTGGAAGAACACCAAAAGAACGTGAAGTTGTTAAATCTAAGACTCAAGAAAATGAGAACAGAGAACGAGCTAAATCTCGAACTCGTTATCGTCGTGAAAAGGTACAATCCTAACTATACGAAAATTTTGCGTATCACCTGGCTTTAATCGTTATGTACCAATTTTATTAAGCGTATTTAAATTTGTTTATTTTATTGTAGGCGGAAGTACATGTTGAAAAAGAGGAAGCGAAAATCACTGAAGTTAAAGTGAGTGATGTCCTTACTGCACCATTCTTGTTAATTGTTATTCTCAATTTAAACTAATCTTATATATGTATAAATTTTAGCTTACAACACAGATCTTTATCGAAAACTTACGTCAATATAGAACATTGTCAATAACAGCAACTAGAACTGCATTAGACATTTTAAACTATTTCCGTGATAATGAAACAATTTCTGATTCTGAATCTTGGACTTTATTTGAAGTAATTAATGAATATGGTTTAGGTATATAATAAATATTTCTCTTTTTAGGATATCAAGATTTTGTTATAAAATTTAATTAATTGTAAATTTGTTATTTAGAACGTCCGATAAGAGATTGGGAATATGTTGCTACAGTCATCGGAAATTGGGAACCAAATAAACAAAATGCACTTGTTTTAAAAAAATACATAAACAGGAATTGTCTGACATTAGGAGTATGTATTTATTTATGTTAAATAATTTATTCGCTAGAATTATTAAATTCAATTTCATTATTTAGGGATTCAAAAATGCTGTACCTCCCATGTTTGGATCTCTACATTTAGAGGTGAAGAAAAATAAATGGCAGAAAAGACACTTTTTTATCAGAGATGGAACTGTATATCATTGCAAGGATGCAAAGGTAAAAATAAAATTGTGAATTATTACTTTATTTGAAAAAAAAAATTAACATTATTTATAACTAGGGGAATAATGAAACTCTCCTTTGTTCGCTTGCAAGCTTTGATGTGTATACTTTTACAAAAACCGTGAGAAAATCTCCAACCAAGTTTATTTTTGCATTGAAATCTCAAGACAAAGTTGCAATGTTTGAAAATCCAGATGATTACATACGTTATTTGTGTGCAGATCACTTGGATAAAATGAAAGACTGGGTGTTGAGTCTTCGAGCTGCTAAGGTAATTTTCATAAAATAAAATTTATATATATTATAAAATTTATAATGTTAAAGTTTTATCCACGTTTAATAGAATAACTTGCTACGAGCTAAATATCCGGAAAGGTTTGAAAAGACCATCAAAAGTGATGATAAGCTTTATTCAGAGGTTTGCAGAATATATTTTTTTTTATATATATATTTTATAACTTAGTAAAAATCAGAAATTTTAATTTAACATTTATATTATTTGACGGAATAGAAATCTGGCGAGAATTCTACGGAGTTAAATGAATCTAATAATAAAGTATCGGAAAGACGTAGGTCTATTAACCAATGGGAAAACCTACGTAAACATGTTCGTAATTCAACATTATACGGTAAAATAGAAAATAATTCCCTAAGACTTATTACTAACCCAGGACTTAAAAAGAAAGAATCAGACAATGGGATAAAAGATTCATTGAATAATACATCAGCATCGAGTGGGGATCAAAAATTTAAAGAAGGTTCACTATTAGATTATAACGAAAAAATTCCATCTCCCAAACAAGTTGAACCTGAAAGTAAAGCATTTGTGAAAGGATCACTATTAGCTTCAAACGATGCATTATTTGAACAAGCTAAAGAAAGAGAAAAACTTCGTAAAGCTATAGGAGGGGTCGGAATCATCAGAGATCAGAATAGTTTAACGTTTGTTAATTTAAATACTTCTGTAAAATTCAGCCAAGGATCTTTATTAGATAAGAATAATGATACAACAAATGAAAATAATAATAATTCCAATAATTCACCTACAGGTCGATTGGTGCAAATTGAAAACGGGGTACAATTTAATAAAGGATCTTTACTAACTAAGAGTAAGACTCAAAGATCACATAAAAATCCTTCGGGAACATTATTAAAAATAGATGCACCATTATCAAAGAGTGCACCAGTTCAAAGTATATTATCACCAAATGGAAAAACATTACTTGAAATTGATTTAAAACCTGATGCAGCACATACAATAGCATTACGGAATACGAACGTTAAACCTTTATTAAGTTTTGTTCCAGGAGAAAATAATTATAATAATATAGGAGTAAAATCACCAAGAAGTTTAGGGTTTAATCACAATAACAATGAGGAAAGTGAAACTAGTAGCGAGTATGATAGTGATGATAAATTATATTAAGAGGATTATGTAATGTGATAATAATATAATTTAGTCTTTGTATATTTATATATAAAAAAACATATCATATTAAAATTTAAAAATTAATTATCTTATATAGAGATTATATAAATTTACTGAGATTTTTTAGTAAATTAATAAATCATTTTAATAATCATATAATTATGTAAATATAAAAATACGTATGGAACCAGGATCCCGATGATGCGTTAAAATTCAAAGTTGTAATACTGTGTGCGGTAACTGCGGTGTCCAGACGTGACGACGTTTTAACCAATCGGATTTTCCCGTCTTTACCGGCAGATTGCATTCACCAGCATTGCATTATGCATAAACTAACTTTACATCCAGCATAAATTAGCCAAGTATTAGTTTGTAGGAAAATTCATAACTATATCAGGATTAAGCAATTTCCGTGTATGTGTACAATGTGCAACAAATTTATATTGGTCAAAATAAAAGTACAAGTAATATTTGATATCGTATTTATCAAATAAATAAATTTTACACATTTTCCCCTAATTTTATGATGAATAAAAACATGCCATTTAAACTTCTTTCAATGATTTAATTTATAAGATAAGTTTTATTGAATTACCGATAAGGATATTAATTAAAATATTAATTTTATAAATGGCACGATTGTATTATATGATCGTCTCGTGTTCATGTAAACGTGGTTGGAAGTTGGAACTTATTTTAATAGTATTATAGTAGCACAAAATATTATTTATATCAGCTCATGATTAATTGGGTGGATTAATTGGGTGAATTATTATTAAATTATTAATAAATGAAACTTTTAGGTTAAATCAATGGTTTTCTTTGTTAGTCTTTGTTAGTCGATCAAAATTTCTTTATTTTTCATTTTCGTTGTCCAATGTTTTAATTAATTGACCCAAGAGATAAACTATATGTTTTAATTTAATAAATTAAAATTCTTTTTTTAAATTACAAAGATAATAACATATTATTTTTTCACTTGGTCTTCGAATGGTTAAACTTTAAACGATATTTTCTTTTTGTTTTTTCTCAAATTGAAACTTTGATGATCAATAAATAAAACAAAGAAATAAAAAAAAATAAAACAAAATAAAACAAAATTTAATATATCATTTTAAAATCAATTTGGTTGAAATTTTGTTGAAGTTTTGTTGAAGTTTTGTCGATTTATCCTTATTAAAACGATCATAATTTTAAATTAATGAATATCGTTAAATCGCAACATTAAAAATTTGATGATCATTACTTTTAATATCTTCATTGAGTTTGATATACTGTATCATGTGGATATATTAATAAATTTTTGAAAACAGTAAATTTCTTTGTAAAATAAATGGACCGGAACGGAGGTATAAAAAATCTCTAATTATTACAGCAAAATTCGAAATATAATTAATGAACACTTGAAAATTTTTATTGTCGGGATTGTCTGGTACTCGGGTTACTCGGCTAGTCGGGTTATTAGAAAAGATATATAACACGTGACATATATATATTTATAAATTATGTTATATTAAAATTTAATTAAGGTATACCGTGTTATTTATATTTTCTAATAACCCAGTAACCCAAGTACCCGACAATCCCGACAATAAAAATTATCAAGTGTCCACTATATTTCGAATTGGTCTTTTTTAAACTAATTTTAGTATCAAATAGTTACTGCGTCATGAGAATCATAAAACTTTTTATTATACTTTTTTAACTAATAATGATAGATTTTATGGAATTTTTAATTTTTATTACTAATTTTAATGATCATCCGTGAAAATATCAAGAAAAAAAAATCATGAATTGTTATTAGGAACCGTATATTTATATAGTAGTTGTTTTTCTTCATACTGGTTGATAATTAGAAATTGATATTATAATTACTAACGAACTTGAAATTTATTAACATAAAATTACGCTAGGAGAGAGAAAATCGTAACTCAAATAATACCAAAGTTAAAAAGAATTATATAAAAAAAGGAATTATAAATGAATAATAACAGATAAAATGAGAAAGTAAGATGTTTATTAATAAATTTTATGCACTTTATAAAAATTGTTTTATTCTGACTGTTCAAAACATTTATAGCAAAATCTAAATGATCTCAATAAGGACATCCTAACAGAGAATTTCGGGTATGATCAAGAAGTAGTAACGAATGTGGCTGGTTTTATCTTTAACGATCTGCTCAGAAATTCGAAGAGTATGATGCTCTCTTGAATGATATTCATTAGTATAAGTTGATAAAGAATCACTAAAGTCTTTAAAACTGCTATAAATCTATAGCTAGATGTTCCCGTACTCGTGTTCCGTTTAGGAAACTTGAATTTTCCTAACAATCACGTGGGCGTATGTAAAAAATTCTACCGCAGTATTGCATCGTTGAAATATAGCATTAATCAATAATGTCATGTCAGAATCAAATAAAGATATATAATAACGAGTATTCAAAAAAAGTTTCCTAAGTTTCCTACACTTCTTTTAATCAATGTCTTCTTTTTTCATTTATAAGAAAAGTTTAATCAATATCCTATCTATCCTTCTCATAATTTTTGCTGTACTTGTGTTCTGTGTGATTATTAAGATATCAGAATTTACTATTTGAGATTATTACTTATCTAAAGCCTTTCTTTTGTCATTTTTAGTTTTTTCCCATTGCTGGTGTTCTTCTTTGGATCGCTATTACGTCATACATCGGATACTATATTAGTAAGGGGATTGATTACTTACATCTTCAACAGGAGCAAGTCATTGGCTTATTCACTTGTGTAACGTAAAGTCATAAAAACGAATTTTTTAGTATTAAAAAAATTTTCGTACTCTATTCCTACAACCATACAACCATGGCGAACATATCAAAAGTTTACTGTGAGAAAATAGATCTCGAAATTATAGACCTTAAGAAGGTTTATACATTTGAAGAGTTCGAGTACATAAACGACCAACTTAAGACTCGCACTATACAACTTAATGGAAAACCAGTTAACCTCTTCGAATACGAAAATGGAAAGTTAATCCCAATGCCACAGACTCCATACGCAAGAGGAAAGGTTGTCTTAGAAATTGGGAGACAGTTAGCTAACTGGAACATCGAAACTCGCCAAAATGGAGGCGTTACCTTTTCGCAAGGTGGCTTTAATTTTAATGTTGGGGGACAGAGAACCATTCTAGCACCAGATGTTTCTTTCACTCCAAAACAAACAGACCGTAATTTGAACAGCTTACAAAATTGGACCTTTCAAGGCCAACCCTTCACTCCAATATTCATTGTTGAGGTTGATTTTATTGAAACTGAAGCACAATTTCAAGTATTTGACGATAGATTCAGAAATAAAATTTTTGCACAGGGAACAGCTGTAGAGTTAGGATTTCTAGTTAGCATCGGCCAAGATGAAAACAACCAACTGGTGGGAAATATCCATTCGTGGAGAAGGTACGAAAATAGTGATACTGTTCATCATTATGAACATGGATGGAGAGATATGAATACCACTGTTAATGGTCAGCAGATTCTTCCAGGATTCATCTTGGATGTAGAGATGATTGAAAAGGCTATCTCAAAAGTATGTTATATTTATTATTGGAGTTCATTTTTAGTTATTTATTTATTTCATGAAATGATTACAGCAATATTCAGGTTCATCATCATCGGATGATGATACTAGATCTGCCTGTCCTAAATGTGCGGAAACTTTTACTGATAATCACATATTTATGAAGCATTTTCGAAAAGAGCATGCGCTTAAGCGACGTACCTAAACCAATGCGTTAATCAATAGATTATCATGCGTCTCAAATGTAGTTAAAAAAAAATTATATTTTCTTATGTGTAGTAGTAAGGCTTATTTTGTATAAGTTTCGCTTCATCTAGTTATATTATTAATTGCACATTTTTATTTTTCTGAAATGAGATTTATAATGCATAATATATATATTTTGAGTTTTCCTTTTTTGTAATAAAAATTTATGAGATTTACTGTGTCGAATGCCATTTGTTTACTGCACCAAGATTACCACACTTGTGACCAGCAATATCTATTATACTGTAGTGAAAAAATAGCACCGAAAATGTATATCAATAAAGTTCGCCCACATCAGACAACTGTGTATATGTTGTTACCATTACCTTTGGTAACTGTTATATGCGGGAAATGTATTGTATTTATGCTACTTCATAATCATTATTTTTAGCATTCTGGGGATTTTACTTGCACAAACACTTGAACATTATCAGATTAAATGTAGTAAATTCGTTACTAAATGGCGACCCAAACAGAAGGTATTGATTTCTTAGAGCAAATTAAAAAGACTAATATGTTGTTAACTGACGCAATAAGCATTTTATCAAATATCTAATTTCTATATCATTCTCAATTCTAGCATAATAAGTATATTTTTTTTCTGGTTTCGAACTTGTGAGAAGCTGGGTGCGCAAAATAACTGAGTATCATGATTATAATCGCATTACGGCGGGTAAACTCTCAATTAGAAAGGGCTTATCAACAGCTCCTAAATCACACTCACAAACCTATTCCTCAAAACCAGATTTCTGAGAAAAATATGCGGATAGAGGATTATTTGCACCATACATTAGAGATTTACCAGAAATCATTAGACCGGAGTCGCAAAACTATGGATCGGAAAAAATCACATCCTCAAAGTTGGCCGGAATGCCTGACACCCGATAATGGATCCCAAACAGAAAACAAATCATGTGATCATAGGTGGAAATTAATCGGGCTAAATATGAACTTATTGTTCTGCAAAAGCAACTGCTTAAATATAATAAAGACCTTTGGCCGATTTATGACAAAATCTAACTAGGGATCATGAGAAACGAATTAAGGAAAATAATTAGTTAGTGATCGGGAAATGTAGTAACAAATTTGAAACACTAATATAAAGTTAATAAAGAATCGCTAAAAAACACTATAAATCAATAAATTGTTATAATTTGCTACAATTCACTGTAATTCACTAAATCGCTAATTTATTAATAATTATGCCCGGTAAAACAGTTAAAATCATATTAGATAATATTTATAATACATCTGTTCCTAAACCTATCAATCTCCGTCCTGGATATGATATGGAACATGGTTTTAACTATCGACTTCAAACTGATAACTATCAGTATGAAAAAGTGGTTGAAATAGAAAAACAATATGATCATTTATCCGTTATTAGACCTCATGAAACACCCCAGCAATGGGCTGTTCATATAAGGGCTCCTTTGCAAGAACTATTTTCTAAGTGAAAATATAGTTTATACCATGTATACTGCCTTTTTGCTTCATTCGGGTAAGTAAAATCCACAACATACTATGTTAATGGTGAGTTATATGGAAATCCCTTTGGCTATTGTAAACCTAGTGTCCATAAAAGTCAAATGGCTATCTGCTTCAAATGCTGGAAATTGGTAAAGATTACCGAAGTAGAGCCTAGAAAGGAATATTATAGTGGATGGGGGAGATGGGCCTATGAAGTTGAGTCTGAAAATCTGATGAAGGATCATTGGAATTACTCTTGCTTCAAGGCTGAAACTGCAACTATAGCAAAAAATACTATGCCCAGTGCTCCAAATTTTGAGCCAGCTTGTATTTTAACAACCAGGCAAGAAATGATTTCACCAACTTCTTATCAATCATCGAATTGCAAAAGTAATACAAGCGAAATATTTATCTTGTCTCTATATGCAAAACAAAATAACTTACTACCATCTATAAACTATCTTAATCAGCCCGCATTAAGATTGAAAGATGGGACAAAAACCATGATTGTTTAGGAGGATTTTTTCACGAATATTCTTAGTATTTTTTCTGAAAACTAGACTCTGACAAATTTTTAGCCAATCTCTAGGCGGAAATTATTGTTGGAAACAAATGAAATACCCATACTTTTGGAAAAATATGAAATTTCTGAAATTTCTGAACTTTTGATTTTTTTTTTTTAAGATTATATTACTTTGCCAAAGGAACTAAATTATAATCAGTCATATGTTCAGCCAATCACATTTCAATGAGCACTATAAGAGTTTGCTTGACCAATTACCCCCATCCATGAAAAAAGATGCATGGTTACATCCTACAACCCGCAAAAATAACCCACTATCTGAGGAACAGGCTAGAGGAATTCGTCCAAATATAGAGGAGTTGCTCACTAGTAATGTTAATAGGTAACTATAAGATTAAAAATCACCAGAAGATTAAGATCGAAGCAAATATCTCCACTGATGGTACTATTACTTTTTCCGGATTGGATGGATTGGAAAAACAGTTGGAGGAGCATGAGACTTTACTAAGGACCTTTACTAAGATAGAAGGAAAACAATATTAAAAAAACTATTGAGGCTCAGGTTGCTGAGGAATGCAAACGTCTAAAAGATGAATATGATGCTCTTATGGCTTGCAAAGAGAGTGAATATAATAATTGTATGGTAGATATGAAACAGAAGACATATTCATTTAAACATCAATTGGAATCCCAGCATAATTCACGCTCAGCTGAGTTAGAGAAGCAATATAAATCACGTATCTCTACTTTGGATAAATATATAGTTAGAAAAGATAAGGAGATCGGCAAGTTATCTTTTACTATTTTCCAGCTTAAGAATGAAAAACGGGATATAAAGAAGACCGCCGAGTCTGTGTGTAAAGACTTGGAGGATATTATCTTTACAAAAGATCTAAAAATTATAGCCCTAAATGATCAAGTGAAATCTTTCAATCCTAGCGCTGGAAGGGATGGGACAATAGAGCCGAATACATTTAATTCTTTTCATGAAGCTGAATATTGGGCTAGAAAATGAGAGGATGCAAGGAGTAATCTAAATATCCGAAAAAAATATACTTTCTGAAAACCTGTCTAAGATGATTTGTGATCTATTTATGATTAGTCTAGTTTAATCTTAGACTCAACCTTGACTGGTTGTAGACTTATTGTAGACTCGACATTATCTGGTTGTAGACTCATTGTAGACTTGACATTGTCCCGCTGTAGACTCATTGTAGACTCAACCCATCCCGAACTTAATATATTAAGTTTCCGGGCTTTATTATATCAATTTGACGAAATTCGTACGTCTAACTTAATTTTGCCAGAATTAAGACGATTTTGGCCAGAATTACGAGAATCCTAGTTTAAAAAAATCATGTCTAGCCCTGGTGAATTTTGAAAGAAAGTTTGCCGGCCCAAACCCGGATCTGGTCCAGGCTGGGTCCGGGTTTCTGGGTTCCGGTTCCGTTTGCATGCCTCTGCTATAGAGTCCTTCGCTACGCTTCAGACAATAAAGCAAAGAAAATAAAAAATAAAAATTTAAAAATCAAACTTTATTGATTTATTTTTAATTAAATGCCATTGACATAAGCCGTGTTTAGTTCCACAATTGTTAAATGTAACATTATACGCAGATTCCATAACACTATCATTATCTGTAAGTAAACATTTGATGCTGATAATTAACTAAACTCAAAAAATTATGAAAAGACCATATAAATCTTCTGTTGTTTCACTTTTTAATAATGCAACAGTGAAGCAAACGCTTTGACCATAATAACTTCTGTAAAGGTTCCAAATGGAAGATCAAACCTATTTGTTTGATATGTATTGTCAAAATCAACAATGTCAAAAAATCTTGTTTTTATTCTGGAAACATCCAAATTGTGGATTCAAATTCATTTGTGTAATTATTAACTTTAACATATGCAAGTTCATTATTTTCTATCTAATAATGTAACAAAATTATGCGCATCAAAAGCTTTTCTTTTGTTGATTTATTCACGAATCTTTGCTGCATAAATTCCAGCCATATGTAGACCAAGTATATACTGTATCTTTAATATATATTATCAGGTATTTCTCGATTATCTGGTATAAAATTCCTTAATTGTAAAGGAATGAGATCATGATTATGTGTCAAATCAATTTTAACTATAATCCATAAGCCGATTTAATTCCACGAATAAAAAAGTACAATTACATCTTTAAGATGATCTATTTCTAGTGGATTTGTTATTTACGGCTTATTCGTTTTCTATAGTTTATTTTTTGTTGTAAGGCTACTTTTTGAACAAACTATCTCTCTTCATCTTATTTCATTGTTTTTTCATCATCATATTTTGCCATGTAAAGTATTATAGTTTTTTATAAATTTTCAAAAGAACTGTAATTTAAAAGTATCACCTTTAATATCTTATGCATTTTTAATATCTTTAGATATAGGTGTTACTTCGCTATTAGACATGTTTTCTATAAAAAAAAAAGTTCGCGGTTACAATGTAAGGAAAAAGATTCAAGATTTCGCGCAATATCTTATTTATTTTTAGGGTACTATTAATATTTCCATATAAATATTCTTATTTAGGAAAGTCTATTTATAAATTGCGTGATAAATGGAGTTTTAATAGTTTACCAAAATTATCAGTCTTTTACCTGTATTACAATAATTCTAGTCATACATATAAGTTTGTACGTTAATAATATACACCCCAATGTACTTTAATATTTATCCATTTTAAATGTTCATTTTTTTTTTACAAATTGGCCAGAATTACGTCGAAAAATGGAGCAGAATTAAAAAACGGACATTTCTTTATTATGTTAATAATTTGACCAGTTATTCTGGAATTTGGTCAGAGTTTACAATGGAGTTGGCCAGAATTAGTCATATTTATTTAGACCAATTAGATTGATCTCGTGACGATGGGGCATCTAGCTATAAGGGAGGTTCCTTAACGTACGCACCGTGCGTACGTATATCCTACTAGAGTTTAGGAGTTATACACTTGCACGTGAAAGCGTTAAACTTAACTCCGGCCGGTGCGTACGTTAGTATCGTATACATTTAAGGAACCCCCTGGTGATGTAGTGCACGCCCACTTATCCTAGAAACTATGTATTCTTCATTCTACTAGGTTCATTTATCCAAACAAATTTTTTGTTTCGTTTACCAACACGAACTATAAACCGACCTACTTTATTACTACTTTATGGGTTATACTCGTTTGTTTGAATATTGAAAGTGTGCAAGGCAGATAAAAGGATTCACTGATCGGGACATCACCTTTTTATAAATTTGCATTGGGTCTACAAGATCTTGGAAAGATTTCGTTAATACGACAATTCCGATTAACTCACCAAAAATAGAATATTAATTAGGGATTACGCGTCTTAACGGGGTTAGAGGCAATAACGGTTTTATGAGAAACCGATCGATGACATTGTAAATCTGAAATCTAAATCATTTCCGTAAAAGGGCATTCTTATTAGTGATTCAAGATTGCGCCAACCTATTAATTTAACTCGAAGGAAAAAATAGATGGAAATATTTCATTTAATTTTATTCCTCTTCAACAAATGGTTCAACAAATAAAAGAATACAAACACCAATTAATAATGCCAAGAACATGGAAGGACAAAACTAATTATTGTCAGTAGTAACTATGAATTGTAATTTTTTTATTTTTTACAAATAAAGATATAGTTCAAATATAAAGAAAATTTGCTAAAAGGAAAAAAATTTGTTAAAAACAAAAAAAATTCTTAGTTAAAAAATCGAAAAAAATTTGTTAAAAAACAAAAGTTCATTAAAACAAAAAAAATTTCAAAAACAAAGAAAAATTCGTAAAATTTAGCAGAGAACAAAAAAAATATATTGAAAAAACAAAAAAAAATTCAAAGACAAAGAAAAATTCGTAAAATTTGGCAGAGAACAAAAAAATATATTGAAAAAACCAAAAAATTCGCATGAAAGTTCGTTAAAAAAATGTTAGAAAAAAAATTCATTAAAAAATAATATCCGTATTTGGGAATTATCGATAAATAAAAGAAATCACCTATTTTAGAATTTAGTGGGCGATGCTATAAACAAAAAAATAGTGTTCAACTCACGTTATCTTCTAAATGCATTGTTATATATCTCTACATCAATTACACCCCCAGCTGTTAGCTTATTTATTCTATAACAAGAAATAACAACATCAGGAATTCCGGTTTGATGCCGGAATCTTTAGCAAATAGAATAAAAGGAAAATGAAAATGAATTAGCTAGAGCTATGAGATCAAGAAAAGAAATTTCTCATACCAATTGGGAAGAGTAGCTTCGCAGTCTCCAACCGATTGTCCATTCGTGATGGTTTGTTTCCCCCCCTGTAACCAAGTGATTAATTATCGCATTTCTATCTCGACCAACTACTCCATTTCTGTTACCAGGTGAGGCTGCAACGTCATTAAAGCCGGCATCATTCCATTGAATTACAAGAGCGGGCATATCGATGTGGTTTTTTGTAATTTTTAGAATATGAGAGGCGAGGAAATGCTCGAGGAAGAGTTAAGGGAGCTAAATACACAAAATATTAGAAACAACTTTTATGTATAAGAAATAATTAACTGCTAATTTTTACGCTCTTAAGTTACATTCTCTTGCAAGTAACCTGACTTTGTGTTATAAAGCTGTTAGAAAAATATTACTCTGAAAGAAAAAAATCAATGTAATACCTTGATCACGAAGAAAATCTTGGCATGATAGTTGGGACAAAAAAATTGTATTGAGTTTGAGAGTTTAATAAATGTTTTACAATTCTATTCTTTGATTTTTTAAAATCATCATATTTAATGATTTATTTAAATCCAATCTGATGTCGGTTGGGACAATGGGTTAGACGCAGCTTTGTATAATTTTAAGTTTTTAAGTAAGTTTTTATGAGATTTATCGAGATCTTGTGTTCACTACCAAAATTGGTATATATTATTTTTAATAAATATTTTTAACGATTAAGACATTAAGAGTTTAACAAATGACAGATAACAATAATTAAATTCAACAAGATATTTACAATCAATAAAAAGAAACAATTAAAAAAATCATATTTTTTGTATATTACCATCGTGTTACATAATTATAATTCATGATTTGTTTTCTTGATATTCTCACAGAGATTCTACTTTTTAACGTTAATTGATACGAAAACAATTAAGATTCATTTTCATATTGATCCTTAATTTGCCAAGACTTTCAAATGAAAATAAATTATCGATAAATTAAGTGATATATTTATTTCTGTGTAATACAAAAGCTCACCGAAGGTGTGTTCCTAGAACCTTCTTATTTTTTTGGGTATTCTCTTTGACATGACATAAATGATCGTTATCGATAAAATGTATGAATAAAAGACGTGGTTGAGCGGCAAGGGGTCATAATGGAAAGTATTTTCTGTGGTAAGTATGTAATTAGTTGTGTCCCCACATTGTTTATTGCATATAAACACTTTTGTTAATCTCTGAATCACACGACAAGGAAGATAGAGTCTTCGTTCCTAAGTATTTTTATAAAAATCACTCACACGAGCAAGGGAATAATAAAATGGTGATCTTAGACTTTTGTGAAGTATGATAAAATAAAATTATTTTAAGACACTATTCGTCTAAGAAAACATAAATAATCTCTTCCCGTATTGTTTTTTCTGTAAATTAAGTTCATGAATTTACAAATATGATACGTCACCAAATTTTTATGTTTGTATTACCGATGTAACGTTACATGTAAACTGCATTACAAAACTGTAGCTCCTTTTTTGGAATACAAGGGAATGAAGATCATAACACATTTGGTATCTTACCTCTCTCTTTCCACGTGGGACTATTTAAACGTAAACTGGATTTTTTGTTAAAGTTTCCTGTTAGTCCTGTTAATTTTTGTTAAGAAGGTTGGCAAGAATACTTTTTTATGAAACGCACACTATTCTTTAAAAGTTCAGCAAACAGCTCTAATGATGACAGATAACACGGACAGTAGTAACGTCATGTCGTCCTCCGAAAAAAAAGAAAAAAAAGGACTGCTTGAAACCCTGGGAAAGGATATAGAAATTATTAAGAAACGATTACAATCGATAACGCAAGAAAAAGAAAGTTTTAAACGTAGATGTACGGAACTTGAAAAAAAGAATAGAGAACTTTCATGTAAAAACGTGGAGTTGCAGAGACAGCTAGATAGTTCCGTAAAAGAAAATGAATCACAAAATTCCGATGATTATCAGAAGCTAAATTTGCTCACACGAGAAGTGAAAGATATATTGGGTATGATGAACGCTGGCGATGATGATCTGGGTGGCAACGAAAGAGAAGGTGGCTCGAACGCAACTGGAACTAGTGTTTCTAAAGAAATAGTAGTGGAGGATGAAAACTTTCCTAATGATGAAGGTCAAGATTCGGACTATACGGATGAATGCGTGGTTGTTCCGATTGATCAAAAAAAAAGTACGGATAGCAAGCATAATCACTCCAAGTCTACTCCTGATACTCCTGGACAAAATACGCACGTTTATTGCGAATATTGCAACAAATACATAACTTCAAAGGGATATAAAAACCATCTCTATACTCAAATTCATCTGTCAAATGTGTCTGTACGTGAAAAGGAGGAATAAAGGTACAAATAATTCTTTTTTTCTTTTATAAATAAAATTCATATATGTTACATATTATATATATATATGTCTCGTGTGACTTTTTGTATTTACGTTATATGTGAAGCGTATCTCTTGGATATCATGTAATGGAATAAATACTAAATATGCGAAAATAAAGAATTTAAAAGCGCCATGTGCACACGCTAATGACGAAATAATTTCTTCTGAAATGCTATTTTTCAGGGTGATCGGGTAGATTTCTTCGGTTTTACATTTTTTGTTTCATAATGATTTTAAGAGATAAAGCCGAGATATACGTATGTGACATGAGTTATACAGTAAACTAACTAATAGATATAGTGTGTAAATCGCATATTTCCCGAGATATATGTCATCAACATCAACGTAGGATTTTTACTCAATAAAAGAAAGAACACTAATGCAAAAGTTAACGAGAAATAATACTAATGAATGGTCCTAGTTGGTTAGTTACCTACGAGAAAATTCATTAATAGTGTCAACACAACCTGTGATGTTTGACGAGAATTTCACATTGGCGGCAACGAGAATCTGACTATGTTGTAATGTAACTCGTGTCTTGTGATCATCATGTGCCACTCCGAAATTGATCGATGTTGCAAATGTTTAACATGATTAACATCGAACCTAATTAACATGTTGAACATGATTGACATATTGAACATGTTAGTCATATTGATATTAATATATGTATAATTTATTATAAATATAGGTCAATTTACTTGTAGTAATGTTTAGGAAGATAATAACGAAATAAAGTTTTTATTTAAAGTTATAAAAGGTTATCTGGTTATCTCATTGTTGTATATTGATAGTTTTTTATTGTGTGAAATCCTTTATTCGTATTTGGAAGTATATGCCGACGTACAGCGTTATACTACACGTCTGATCGGATAATTTTGATACGTTGTTTAATTATACACTTTATAACCTTCTGCTACCTAATTAAATAAATTGCTTAATACTCTTAAGCGTAAAGGAAAAGGACCTGCAAATAGAAAAATTAGAGTTCTCTATAAATACAGTACATGTTATCTGCGAATAATACGAATAAAAGATACATTGAAATGAAATATTCTATAAGTCTATTTCCATTTTCATCATCATAAGCATATAATTTCCATTTGGTGGATTTAGTGTTAAACCATAACATCGAACAATTTTTTCTGCCTGTTTATTACTTATAGCCAAATGTGATTTGGCCTAAATAATAACACTCTATTTAATACAAAACTGAAACTTCGGATTATATAAGTAAATTTAGAATAAAATTTTAGATTTACATTTTCAACATCTACTAATCTTTTAAGTATGACTTTAATAGTTCCAAATCTTTTTAATTGTTGTTCTTAGGAACTCATTCATCATAACTTCCATTAATCCAATGTTAGCAATTAACTATTAACCTGTCTTTATCTACTTATTACGGGGAACACATTACTGGAATTTCGAGACATGATGTGATTAACCACGATATCATATAATTTTCTGCTTTGTTAACAAAAATCTCACCACATGAGCTAATACATAAGAATGGCTGTGTGGGATCTCCTCTTATAGTCTATATGAGATCAGTACGATAACTATTTGGAAATGAGAAATAATTTCGATATTCGATTACGAGAGTTCTACTGGATGGAAACAGATAAATCATCAGTCGCCTTTCAGTATATTCTAGCAATTAATACTGTAATAAATCTCGTAGTTATATGAAATAAAAATTATTGATTTTTTTCTATTCGATGAAAGATCAGTATATTATTTACAGATACAAAGTGTGATAATTATATACATAACAATTGTGTTTATATCGATCTCGAGAACTAATAATATATTTGACATTACTTCGTGCTATGTGCGGGATCCAATTTGACTAAAATCGTCACACTTTGATCATCCTTTTTCCATTCGTCTATAAATTTTCCTATCCACTTCTGCACAGCTAATTTATTATCCAGAGTAAGGTCGGATTTATTACGATAAAATTTCTCTACTGTGGTTTCACTGATAGAATGGTTTGTTGACTTTAATTCGTCAGCGATGGCCTTAAATGTGAAATTATTGTCCTCGGCTATTCCTCTGAATAATCTTCGAAGTAATTCGATATCATTTAATTTGGAATGGGCTTTGGAAAAATATTAATAAGGCATAGTATACTTTTACGCAATCATCAATGCACGAATTATCATACCTGAATTTCCGTTATATTCATTTTTTCCATAGAGGTTTCTATACCCCAACATTGGTACCTATTCATAAAATAATTATAAAAAATTCTCCGTAAGAAATTTTTTGAATACATTCGGATGTAAGTCTAGTATGAATATTCGGTATATAATTATGTTCATGCTTGGAGAACTATCTTATCAGGAACGTTGGCTACATTGCAACTGAGAAGTTCATCTAGTTAAATGATGTTCTTGTTTCAACCAGTTTACGTATCAATTTCAACCCCATTTCTCAGTGTTATTTAGTGTCCAATAAAATTAATACTTCCACAGATGATACATATGTTAACCCCCAACATCGGTGTTAACTATTTTTCCTTTAGGAATATATACATACAATTTACTATAACTATTTTAGTATTATAAGTTTTGATTTCTTACCTCCTACTTGACTTTTGAATTTTTTGATTAGTTCTTCGATAAATAAAATGACGCCACCGGGAAAATTATAAGAATCGCTTTGAAGTCGTTGTTCAGTTAACATCATAAAATTACTACCATCAATAAGTTAGTCTTTCATTTTTTTGAAATAAATTTCATATCTTCCACTAAAAAGTTAGCGAACGACTTCGTCAAATTTTATGAATTCTTCGTGGGGGAGATACCATTTTTTTGTACATAATAAGACCCGTTATTGAATTTATACTGTATTTATAATTCAATTTTCATTTCACACATTTCCCACAATAACCTGTTATCGTCAACCATACAATCCATATCGTACGAACTTTCTGGAAACTATTATACTGTTCTATTTAATCCTTATTGAGAATTTTTCGTGGATATAACTATTATCAGTTATTGCATTTATGTACACATGATAAATTGCGGCATTTTACACAAATAAAAAATATATTATGATCGACATTATATGTAGTACACTGTGTTTGATCATCCGATTAATTAGAATATTTATCTCGGTAGTTTCAGCAATATAAGCTACTGTATAATTCCTTATCTCCTTCTTGACTTTTAAGTTTTTTGATCAAATCTTCGATCCCCGGCAGGAAATATGAATGGAGAATCTTCGAGGTTTGGTTTATTTAATAACATAAAATTTTCACCATCAATCATTTCATGTCTGAGAATCTCGAAATGATTAAAAAATTCTTCCTGCTGTTTATATTTATTCTTTAGGAATTCACAGAGACTAAACGAATTCATCATCTTGAATTCTTGAACCGATGGAAAGGCAGGTTCATTCTTATTTTGATACATTAAGAGACTCATTATAGCATTAATACGGTATTTATGATTCAATTTTTCATTCACACGAATAACCTAGTAATAGTAATCCACAAATGGTAATCAGATAAACCCGCAGTACGAACTTTCCAGAAAATATTTACAGCAAAATAATAGTCGTCTTACATGGAAAGAGAGAATTAAAATTGCTTATGAATAATTCTTACGCTTTAGCTATACATAGAGATTTTCATTCTGGAAATATACTATACTCACAATTTAATGATCTTGGATTTTGTGGACCTGCTGATAAATCATCAAAAAGTATATATGGAAATCTTTCATATACTTTGCATCTAATATTTATAATATTGCAATTCTTATGTGGGAAATTTCCATTATAAATTATGAACATGAAAATGATATTGTAATTAATGTTATTAATGGTATAAAGCCAAAAGTGTGCCAGGAACTCCATTAGAATATAAAAATTTAATGAAAGAATGTTGGGATGCCAATTCATTAAAAAGACCTGATAACTAGGGATTAAAATGAACAAAATTAATTTATATTATCAAAATATACCAGATAAATTATTTCAATTAGAAAAAGGTGATAATTTAGAATTAAATAAAGCTAGTAACTTAAAAACAAATTATACAAGTAGCAGACAGATTATTTACAAGTAAAATTTACAATTTTGAAAATCTACCTGAACCAAGAAATGCAACAGTAGAACAAGAAGGTATAAATAAATAATTTCTTATCATTTTTTATTGTAATAATTTAATTTTTTAAAATATCTTATTTTACTAATAATAATATTTCACAGTAAATCGTATGAATTTATGATTTTAGAATTCCTAATAATAGTAAATATTTAATAATACATTGTTGAATTTTTTTCATAACCATGCTTATAAATTTAATATTGGTTTTCAGTAAATGATTTTAACGGGTCAAATAAGCAGAAAAGTAGCAAATCATCAACAATTATTAATATTTTTAAAGGTCACTAAGATTTAAAGTAGTAAAATGTTTTACAAAGATTTTTAGTTTGTAATTTAAATAATTATAGCGAACTTATTGTATCAATTATTAAAAGTATAAATTATTAATCAGGTCAGTTTACTGTCTTCTCTTTATTGATAAAATAAAAACATATAAAATCTATGATAATAACTTTAATATCATATAATACTAACACCCATTTATGACCGTTAAGTATTATCTTATAGAACAGGTTCAACATCGACTGATTCAACTAATTTAGCGAAAGATAAAAACAAATTGTTCTAATAAAAAAAAGCTTTCTTAGAATTCATTGTTACAAATCATATCATATATGCAACACAGTTATAATTCTAAATAATGGTAAATAGAGTAATTATTTTTCTCCCTTATCAATAAATCTCCAAATAGTTTCTTCTGGTGCTGATTATGCCATATTTTATATTAATTTTTTGTCAAATTCAAAATATATGGTTGTAATGATAAAATATCAGTGAAATATAAAATATACTACCAGTAAATTTATTTTTAATATGATCAATAATTTAAAAGTTAATGCATAAAAAAAAGTTATTGCAATTATTTATTATAAATTTAATAATAATGAATGAAAATGAAAATTTAAAAATCAAGCCTTATTATTTATCACATCCATCAAAAAAAAATTCATCTGACGTTTAGAATGATATTCTCCCCGTGACATATCTTTGCCGCAGTCGTTCGTACTTTTTTTTTTTGGTTCTTTATTAATGTTTTTTACTATTCTTTAATTAAAAAAAACCACCTTTATTTTTTATATTTTTTTTTTATAAACTATATTTAATATTTTTTTTACGTGTATATAATTGTTACTTATTATGTCTTTTAGGATCGGATCGCCGAGTATCGAAATATAACTGAGAAGAGGTGATAGGGTGATCAGATCGACGCTGCAGGGCTATAATAGTTTATTTATTTTTTTTTTTTTTACTAATTTTTTCTTTTAATATATTTTTTTCTGAGAGTAGCATATTAGCATAAATTAATCCTGTTGCAACGTAACAGGTTACAGAAATAATAAGGGCAAATGAAAATTTTATTATGTAATATTTAGGGGGTGAGTAAAGAAAGGTTTAATATATATAGTGTAACATAAGATTTTATATGTTATGTGGGGGTGGGTTAAGATTTATAAACAAATGAATATTACGTAATATTACGTAATAAATAAATAGACGTCACTGCCCTAAATTCTACAAAGTTTTTCCAACTTTGGATACGACTTTAAATAAAAATAATAATAAGATGAATCTTTTTTTAAAAAAAAATTTTAATATTCATTATTTTTATTTAAAATAAATTCAAATTGAAACTATTACCTAGAAATATGGGCCTTTTTTTTTATCAAATATCAACCATGCTTATATTAATTTTTAAAATAATGAATATTTTTTAATGAAAAATGTAAATTAATTTATTAGCCAATCATTTGAAAATCATTGAATGTTTAGATTTTGTTTCGTCAAATTATAAAAATAGTATGTATTGAATGTATTGATTTAATTATTTATTAAATATATTAAATATAGAAATCAAAATTTGTCACACATAAATTGTGTTTGCAAAAATACCATATTTCAATGTGGTAATCGTATTTGATGGCTGAAGCAAAAAGTATTTCTTATTTTATCAAGTCCTGCGCCTCAAGGTCGCAATATTCATTTTTTGGTGGTGGTACAATTCGAGGTTTGATCAACAATTTGCATTTTTTATCAATTTATTTCGGAGTCTGCATGAACAAATTTTAAACATTATTCATTCATGCTTTCTCATTAATTAAAATTATGTCTACTCTTCGTTATGAATTAATTTATGCAACCATAAATAGAGCAGATACATTGATAGATGTTAATATTTATAATGATATACACAAACACTTTGAAATTAAAAAACAAACCGTTCTTACTGATAAATTTCTTACAAATGATGAAAAAACTTATGCAATAAGATTTTTAACTAAAGATTATGATCGAGATAAGGTTATGGATAATGTTGGTACGAAAAGAATTTGTGAAAATTGTAACCAAGAATGTTTGGCTACATTATATTGTGATCATTGTATTCGAAATTATTTAAAAAAAAATTTTACAAATTGGACGTCTGGAAATGATGATATTGATAATTTAATACAGAAATGTCAAATGGAAGTACTTGCTCCAAATATGATAGTGGAGTGGATCCCATACAGCAATTTAAAAAATATTAAATATTTAATAAAAGATGAATTTTCCGAAATTTATACAGCAGACTGGATTGGTGGAATATATGATGAATGGGATTCTAATAAAAAACAATTAAAAAGAATTGAAAGACCTGAAATACAAAGTCCATTGGTAAAAGTAGTGCTTAAAAAATTAATAAATGTTAAAAGTGCAAGTAAAAGTTGGTTTGAAGAGGTTGGTATAATTATAATTTTAACTTTACATTTATAAAATTTAAAAGATTTTTCTATTAACAATAATATGTTGTCATTTAGGCTAAATCATACTTAACTATAAGTAATAAAAGGACAGAAATTGTTCGATGTTATGGTTTAACACAAAATCCATTAAATGAAAATTATATGCTTGTGATGGCGAAAATGGATATAGATTTAAGAAAATATTTGCAACAAAACCACGAAAAAGTTACATGGAAAGAGAGAATTAAAATTGCTTATGAAATAGTTCTTACACTTTGTTATATTCATAAAGAGAAAGTTATACATAGAGATTTACATTCTGGAAATATATTATATTTACAATTGAATGATTATTGGTATATTGGTGATCTTGGATTTTATGGACCTGCTGATAAACCATCAAAAAGTATATATGGAAATCTTCCTTATATAGCGCCCGAAGTTCTTATTGGAGGAGAATATACTTTTGCATCTGATATTTATAGTATTGCAATTCTTATGTGGGAAATTTCATCCGGACAACCACCATTTATAAATTATGAACATGATAATGATCTTGCAGTGAATATTATCAATGGTATAAGACCAAAAATTGTACCAGAAACTCCATTAGAATATAAAGATTTAATGAAAGAATGTTGGGATTCCGATCCATCAAAAAGGCCTGATGCTTTTACACTTTTGAAAAAAATAGAAAAGATTAATTTTGATTATCAAAATATGTCAGATGGATTATTCCAATCAGAAAGCGATAACTTAGAAATAAGTAAGGCTAGTAATTTAGAAACAAATTATACAAGTAGCAGACTATTTACGAGTAAAATTCATAACTTTGAAAATCTACCCGAACCAAGAAATGCAACAGAAGGTATAAGCGTATAACTTTATATCTTTATTATTAATTCAAAAATAAATTATATACTAATATCATTTTTCATTTAAATTATATAGAAGAACAAGAAGGTATAAATTAAAATTACTTGCCCTCTATCAAATTATTATAATAATTTAATTTTTTTAAACCACTTATTTTGATCATAGAATTTCACAATAAATCAAATGATTCTAGCATTCCTGATGATAGTAAGTATTAAATAATATATTGTTGAATTATTTTCATAACAATCATGTTTATAACTTTAATATTATTCGTTTTCAGTTAATGATCTTGACGGGTCAAATAAGCAGAATGGTAGAAGATCATCAAAAGTAGTTAATATTTTTAGAGGTAATAGTATTAATTATATATTAGAAGTAATAAATTGAAATTGAATTTAACATTAATTCAAAATCCTAATTTTAGCTGGCAGTAGAAGATTATCTAAAGTATTTAAAAAGTTGCAAATAAATTCAAATGGTAAGTAAATAAGTGAACGAATTATCATTATATCATTTTCATTTATTAAACGTGGCGCATTTAAAAATTTAGATGACGAAAAAGAAATAATTCAAAAAGAGCAAGATATTAATATTGATGGTAGGTGAAATTTATATAATAATAAAATAATTTTTTTTTTACTATTTTTAATTCTTGCTTATTCATTTTTCTTATAGATGATGACGAAATATATAAAGATCCAAATCTTCTTTTAAAAGAGCAAGATGGATTGAAAATTCTCGATGGTAAAATTTTTAAAATAAAATAAAAATTTCTTTTTAAAACAATTTAAAACTAATTTATTTATTTTATCTTTAGGTTGATTTTAAGTTATCTCTTGATAAATTAACAAATGTTATTTTATATTTTAAATTTTTATCATTTATTTATACTTATTTTGTATTATTTAAACACTGAGATTAGAGTAGTAAAATGTTTTACGAGATTCTTGGTTTGTAATTTAAATAATTATATCAATTACTAAATATATAAATTATCATTATCAATAAAGAATGTATTTATCTCACCGTTACAACTACTGTATATATGTTAAATATGATATAAAGTATATTTATGGCATAAACATTTGTAAAATCATAACAAACATTTCATTCGTTATCAAAAAAATCAAAAAATATCTATCAGACGGAATATCTGACAGGTAACGTGATTGTTTTATTAAAAAAATTGTATTAGATTCAATAATATTAAACATCTATTAAATGTCAGGGCCCATATATTAAATTGAACGTATATTTTTTCCATTATATACGATTCAGACTTTTTATTTTCGTACCTACAGCACTCCATACAATTAATTAAGTGAAACTACAGTGACGAATGGCGATAGCGTTAAAAAGAATTTTCGATAGAACTATCATTGAAATTATTTTATGGAAAATATTTACAAATATATTATTGCACCATTTATCAGTTTCTTAAATTTAACGAATCAATTCTTTAATTTTTTAAATTATGTCAATCTTTTTGTCTATAATCTAACAAAACATTTTGATCAAAAATTAAGTTTTTGATCGAATTTCAAATCTTCAAATTTGATTTTTTTTTTAAGTATAAATATTTTTATATTTGCAATAATAAAATGATAAAGATAAAATATTTAAAAGTTTAAAATTATTCCATATTGAAGGCTAGAGTTGTATTGTTTATACTTAATAACAAAAGTTAAAAATCTACCGTTTCATTAAGTTACCATCATCGCATTTCAAATACTGTACAGGGACATAATTTATAGCCATAACGCTGCATGTAGTATCCAAGTCTTATTCAAAAAACAAGCTTAGATCGAATACTAATGGTTCTTGGCCAAATGTCAAATCAGCGCCAGGTTCTTTTCAAAAATTTGTAGATACCGTATATAATAAGTATCTCAATACTATTGCTATAGCTGGGGTTATTGTATACAATACTATACGGTAAATATTCATTATTATTATTTTTTCTAATTAAAGTAAGTATAATTTTTTTTGCATGTGCAAGTGACTTTTAATTATGATAATGATACTAACCGCTATTTATAAATTATTCTCTTTTTCAAATAAATAGGTTCATTTAAGAAAAAAGATACTGCGTATCTTTTTTACCATGTAAGAATACAATTTACTCAATTATTTTTTATTGATTTCATTTTATTTTTATTTGTTGAATAAAATAAACTCAAGCTATGTTATGGCTTAATTTTATCACTTTTACGCCCTCATACGCATATTTTTTATAGAACTAAGTAGTGCTCCGAACGAGCCGTGCCAGCTCGAGCCAGCTTGCGAGCCGCGGCTCGCAATCAATTGAGCTCGGATCATTCGAGCCGAGCTTCAATGCAGCTCGTTCAAGCTCGCTCACGAACTATGAGCTGGCTCGCGAGCTCTGAAACTAAGCATAAATGATATTTGCGCATGTGGTCATCAGCTGATCATTTCGCAAATTCTATATTTACAGTAAATCTAAAAAATCGAGCCGGCTCGAGCCAAGCTACCTTAAAGCTCGGCTTGGAGTTGGCTCGATACGAACCAAGCTCGGCCATTATAATCGAGCCAAGCTGGCTCGAATTTTGGCTCAGCTCGGCTTGAGCCGGCTCATGTAGAGCTTTAGAACTAAGTCTTAGGAGTATTCTGGATAATTATAGATTTTATTATATATTTTTTAAGGATACAGTTAATAAATATAAACATGGATTTAATTTTAGAGCACGAAATATTCATTGTTTTTATGAGTGAATCTATATTTAAATTTTCCCACGTGAAATATCAGACTTAAATAAAAAAATACTTATCGTAAATAAACTTTAACATAAACTGATTTATAATCTTTAATCTTTACGTGGGGAGTATATTTATTCATCATTCATTGATCTAATTAGTTCAAGACCCGGTTACATAATCAATGATTTTATGATAAAAACAAGCAGCCCTTCACACGAAAGAATTTATCGAATTTTATGAAAGGAAGAAAACCTGAGACTTGGCGAGCGATGTAAACTTGGGATTATAAAAATTTACGGTTATAGTAAGAATTTGAATAAATTTATTAAAATTATTAAAGTGGAACGAAAAAAAATTTTAATGTGATAACCTTATAAATAAATATATATAACACATATATATATAATAAACTGTAACTTCTCAATCATTATAATATGTTTTACTGACTTTTTTAACTGCTACGCTGATAACGTCATTATTATAAGTTTAGATGAAAAATAAAAAGAATTTAATTTATAAAAATTATAATGTAATATTTTATAATTAAAAATCAATAAATATTTAAAATAAAAGATCAAGTTATAATACAAAATATTTTAAAATTCTTATTTAATTAAAATTATGATGACTGATTTATTGTGCTTATTATTTTGACATACAGCTTTTCAATTTGCTATATTATAATAGATATTATTGATAAAATATCAAAAATCTATCATTTGCACATAACGAGAATTCTTATTCGGTAATATTATGATGAGAAACATTTCAAATATTTTTATTAATCTTCTTTTTTTCATTGAAAAACAAAAATTTTTAAAATTATGAGACTTAGCACTTATTTAATCTACCTTTTTCGTTGTCGGACCGATTCCGACATCCATTTTCCTGACGTATCCTTTTCCCGACAACGATTTCCCGACAGGACAAAATCCTGAATGGACATTTTCCCGAATAACATATTTTTAAAAAATTATTCTATTTATTTATATGCACTGTACGTCTACTTTATGTGGAGTTTTCACCGGATTATCCTATGAATAATTTAGGATAATTCGTTAGATGAATTTGAATTCTGGATATCCTATGATATTAGAAAATGGTGATCCGGATAAATTATTCTAAAATAATTCGGATTATCCTAGGATAAAATATGATGAAATCCACTAGACCTCGCTATTAAAAAATTTAAAAGTAGAGTAGTAAATTTAATACTTGATTCTATAAATTTTATTAAATTCAAATTTTAACATATTTAAATACAAAAAAAAATATGTACTTAACTAATATTTTAGGACTTCATTCAAATTTTTGCAGATATTATCAATTCAGCTAGAGCTTAGATCCGGATTATCCGTTGATATCCGGTATCAATTCTAAATATTAATCCGGATGGTAATTCCGGATATTCATAGGATATTCATTGAGTTATTTTTAAATTTTATTCGTATCCTGATTATGGCCACCAGATTCTAAAAGAATCTTAAAAGCTGAATTATTGTTGTTGTTTCGTCATCTATATTTTGACATTTATCAAAATCTAGGTAATTCTCAATATTACTATCTACTGTACTTCTATTATATTACAGTAGACATCCTGTTTCTTTAAGCTAGTATTTTTTTTTGAAATAACTCTAGACTACTTATTCAGATGGGAACGTTAATTAAACTAATCTCATTCCAAAAAAATACATATGGGATTAATATTAAGTAATATTCCATTGTTGAAATTTTATTACATCATGTTTACATCATATTTACATCATATATTCAGTGAATATCCTATTTTCTTAAGCAAAATCCGGATATCCTATCTAAAAGTGAACGGATATATCCGTAATCCTAGGATATTCACTGAATAACCCATTAGGATCATTCACCGGATCTAAGCTCTATTAAATGAAAGTTTAAAATTTTTTTTTTTTCGTCAAATTAAATGTTAATTAATATGAAGTTAAATATTAAATGATATTTATTTATTAAGTAAAGAAAAAAGTTTGCCACATAAATTATATTTTCTGTTAACTTTTAAAATACTAGAGGCGTCGATACTGCGCCTTCACAGAATTTAATCATATGGTGATACAAGTTTTGATCTACAATTTGCATTTACTAATTTATCTTGGAGTGACCGAACTTGAAACACAATTCTTTCTTTCCTTTAATTTATTAATTACATTATGTCCACTCTTCGATATGAATTAATTTATGCAACAAATAGTAGATCATTTACATTAATAGATACTAATATTCATAATGATATACATAAACGTTTCGAATTTAGAAAACAAACAGTTCTTGCTGATAAAATTCTTACAAATGAAGAAAAAACTGAAGCAATAAGAGATTTAACTAGAAATTATGATCGAGATAAAGTTATGATTAATTCTGGTACAAGAAGAATTTGTGAAAATTGTAACCAAAATTGTTTAGCTACATTATATTGTGAATATTGCGTTCGAAATTATTTGAAAGAAAATTTTTCAAATTGGACATCTGGAAATGATGATATTGATAATTTAATCCAGAAATGTCAAATGGAATCACTCATGCCGAATAATATAGTTGAATGGATCCCATACAATAATTTAGAAAATGTCAATTATTTAACAAAAGGTGGATTCTCTGAAATTTATACAGCAGACTGGATTAATGGAAATTATGATGAATGGGATTCCAAAAATCAACAATTAGTAAGAACCAACGAATCTTTAGAAGTAATACTTAAAGGATTAGAAGATGTTGAAAGTGCAAATCAATGTTGGTTTGAAGAGGTTTGTATAATTTATTCTAAATTTTATAAATTTTTATAAAATTAAGATAATTTCTCGTATTAACACTGACAATTTGATAAATATTGTCTTTAGGCTGTGTCACATTTGACTATAGGCAATAAATGGGCAAGTATTGTTCAATGTCTTGGTTTAACACAAAATATGACAAATGGAAGTTATATGCTTGTAATATATAAAATGGATATAGATTTAAGAAAATATTTACAACAATATCATAATCAACTTACATGGAAAGAAAGAATTAGAATTACTTTTGAAATAACTAATGCACTAAATTCGATTCATTTTGAGAAAGCAATTCATAGGGATTTGCATTCTGGGAATATATTGTATTCACAATATAATGATTGCTGGTGTATTAGTGATCTTGGATTTTGTGGACCTGCTAATAAATCTTCAACAAGTATATATGGAAATCTTCCTTACATAGCACCAGAGGTTATTGATGGAAGAGAATATACTTATGCATCTGATATTTATAGTATTGCAATGCTAATGTGGGAAATTTCATCTGGACAACCACCATTTATAAATTATGAACATGATTATGATCTCGCAATAAATATAATTAATGGTGTAAGACCAAAAATTGTGTCAGAAACTCCGTTAGAATATAAAAATTTAATGAAAAAATGTTGGGATGCTGATCCATTAAAAAGACCTGATATTAGTACACTTATGAAAATAATACGTAAAATTAATTTATATTATCAAAGTATGCCAGATGAATTATTTCAACAAGAAATTGATAATTTAGAAGCGAATTATACAAGTAAAAGATTATTTATAAGTAAAGTTCACAATTTTGAAAATCTGCTTGAATCAAGAAATTCAACAGAAGGTATTAAGTATAATTTATTAATAAATTTTTTTTATTGTTTTAAATAGATTGTCATTTTTCTAATTTAAATTATTATAGAAGGCAAATTAATATTTCTAATTATTAAAATAATTTATTTTTAAATAATAGCATCTCATAGTAAATCATATGACTTTAATATTCCTAACAATAGTAAGTATTTATTAACGATACAATTTTGAATTAATTATATATTGATGTTTAATAACTCGATCGATATTTGTTTTTAGTCGATGATTTTCATAAATCAAATGAGCGGAATAGCGTTAAATCATCAAAAATAATTAATACTTTCAGAGGTAAATGATTTGAACTTATTTTTGAAAATAACGAAATTATTATTAAATCTACTTTTGCATTTTCAATTCTAGGTGATAGTGAAAGATTACCCAATGAATTTAAAATGTTGCAAATAAATTCAAATAGTGAGTAAATAAATGAATAAAGTTATTCACTATTTCAATTTTTTTTTTTTATTAAAACTAACGATTCTTATTTAAAAAATTCTGACGACAAAAACAAGTAAAAGGAAAAAATATTGATATTAATGGTAAGCAAAAAAATAATGCATCATTTTTGCAAATTGTATATTAAATGTGACTTTAATTAAAAATTTAGACGATGAAAAAGAATTAATTTTACGAAAAACGAAAAGACAAAATATTAGTAATATTGATGGTAAAAATGTTGCAATTATAATATCAATATTATATATTTTTTTTAATTTTATTTATTAATTTCTTATAGATGATGACGAAATGTATAATAATCCAAATCTTCATTCGAATGAACAAGATGAATTGGAAATTCCTGATGGTAAGTTCTTAAAATAAAATAGAAAAATCAAACTTAGCAAATTAATTAATTTACTGATATGTTATTTTTTTTGTCTTTAGATGGATTTTAAATTGTCTTTTGATAAATCAAATTAACCATATTTTTTATATTTTAAATTATTATCGTTTGTTTATTTTTTTTTTATTTTGAATTATTTAAACACTAAGATTAGAGTAGTAAAATATTTTACAAGATTCTTAGTTTGTAATTTAAATAATTATGTGATAAATTTATTCAAATTATTAAATATATAAATTATCTTATAATAACCATTATTAATCGTTACAACAATAATAATCGAATTTAGACGAAAATAATAATTTTATGGAATAAATTTTATGGCATAAACAAATAAAATCGTGATGCATTATTTAATAATATATAATCTTGTTCAAAGATAGTTTCGATCTTTGTTCCCTCTTCAAAGTACGCGAGATTAATTGATAACGGAATAAATATTCTGTAAATTAAATTTATTACATTTACTATACTTCAATACGAAGCCATCTCTTCATTTGACTTTTAATTATGGAAAACCGGACAATGCTTGGAACGATATAATCGGAAATGGTGGTTCGAAAAAGAACGATACGATCGATTCAGTGATTGACGCTTTTAATAGTGTTAAACTGGTTCAACGAAGATATCAGCTAACAAACCGCTTATGACGTTACTTCTAAATCTAATACCCTCTGACTTAATAGTTACTTTCCGTGCAGCCATCAAATTAGAAAAAGCCACTATGTAACTTTGTGTATAACTTACATCGAGATATTTATATCAATATTTGGCGTTATAAATGTGATAAATTATCCCAATGGAATGAAACACTCAACATCATCAAATCCAGTTTTAGGAAATTTTGTTCATAATCAAGACCCTATAAAAAAAATGTCCGGAAATTGTATCTGAAAATGTCCGGGTGCATCCAAAAATTATCCGGAAATTACCCTGGATTTAGGACAAGAATCAATTTTCTGAATGTTTGATTGTCCGGGATTTCTGTTCACCCGGAATTTGCCCTAAAGAAATATCTGGAATTTTTTGAATATCCAGAATTTGTCCGTAATTTTTGATCAACCGGAATTTATCCAAAAAAAGAAATGTCCAGAATTTTTAGAATCCATCTTGAAATAGAGAATAATCCATATTCAGAGAATGAGATCGTCTCTTTTCTATATTTAAAATTTTATTTTGAAAAGTGAGCATGGGATATTGTTGTAAACTGTGTACAATTTTTATTTTACAATAAGCACGTTTTTTTGTAGTTTTTTAACAGTTCCAACACTTTAGAGAAAGGGGGATGAAACTAATTAAATATTAATTTTTATCAAGTTAGCTTGAATATTTGCAAAATTATTACGCGCGTGTTGTTTTTTTTCAAAATGTTACACAAAAAATCAATTTAACTGAGCCAATCAAATTCAAAGGAATACATAGTGATCGTCATCAGTATCATGTGATTACCTTTTTTATTTATTTGTTTTTTGTTTACGTTATAGCTGTAAAAAAAAAATCTTTCCTCTTTTTTTTTAAAAAAAGCTTTGTTAATACAAACTAGCATATATCAAACACTTTTAACTCAGTTTTTGTTACTTATATCTTGCGAAGGATAAAAACTTTACATATTTCATATATAGGTATAATATTTACAAGATTTTTAGATTTTCAAATTTTTTCGTTATTCTGTTTTCAACTTCAGAGCGTAATTTTATCACTTTGTTCAAATAGAATTGCCCTTTCGTGCTTAAGTAAAGTTGTTTAGTGAGGTCAAGATTACTTGTATTTCAGTGTAAGTATAATATTTGTGAAGAAAATCACGCTTTTATAACATTACTAATTTTTGAATTTTTTCAACTTCAGAGCGTAATTTAACCACTCTTTTGTGTTTAATTAAAGTTGCTCAGCGAGGTTAAAAATTTACTTGTGTCTCAATATTCATAAATGTAGGTGCAAGTAGATCACATTTAATTGAAATGACAGTATTAATTCTATACATACTAGTCTATGATATTTTTTTGTTTTACTTTTAATTTGTATAAATAATAATAAAATACCATTAAAGTAATCTATACAAACAAATTCCTTATTTATGAATGTCCGGAATATTGCAATATTCCGGATGTTTGTAGATCCTGTTTTTGTCCGGAAAATATAGACGATTTCTAATCAAAAATTGGTCAATTTTTTTTATAGGGAGATCATGCTCATCCCGATTCGGGTTGTCGTCCCGATAGTAGCCTGTCATGTATTCATGTTTACCGTAATTTTTACAACTATCGTATTAACGATGATACTATTAAGTGGATCTATTTCACTAGTTATAATTTCCTACATAATTTCCCGTTAACAAGTTTTGATTTTCTATAAATTTTAATTTTTCTTTTTCTTTTTCTTCTTCTTTTTATTCTTCTTACCCTTATGATTTTTATTTAACATTTAACACTTTCTTTTGCTAGAGCAGCAACTATGTTATTGTGGCTAGCTATTGTCCACTATTTTTCTAGTCGATAGATAACTTACTTTATTTCATGTAATCAATTTACCGCTGTAATTCTGTACCATTATCGGCATATCGGCAGTAACTGCCTTCTAAAGTAAAAGTAAAATAAAATGATATAAAACAAACGTTTCCTGTAGCATAGCCATATATAGCCATATAGAAGACACGGGGTAAAAAAAAAAAAATTAACGTTAACACGAAAATATCAATATACCATAACTTTTTTGCAAATATTTAACTCACCTATTTTTTTACTATACTCATTAAAACTTTTAAAATCAATAAAGTTAGGCTTCTTTTATTTTTAATTTTATTATTTTAACTTTATTTCTTTTTGCCCAAGTTAAATTTGGATTGAAAAAATATTCATATCGCAAAAGTCAATTAAACTTAAAAATTCAAAATTTACATTATTAAACATTCTTTAACCAATAATTCACTAAAGAAATAATGCAACAGTAATTAAGTACAGTAAATGACATTATATTTTATAGCATTCTTAGAGGGAAATTTCAAATGGTCCATCCTAACATATATTGTTGAAAAGCTTTAAAATGTCATGCTAATAAATTTAAATCAAACTAGTTACATTATTTATTTCAAATAACGAATGTTGTGAGTATGATACTTCCAAGTGATTTGATTAAAGTTTCGTTCAACTCCTTTTGCACAAAGGATATTTCTTGACGCTTTTGCTGATAATATAGTTATTGATATGATATAATCTCCAATGTTGTATGGTTAAACGATATTGAGTATATCTCCAATGTTGTATAGATGTACTTTGTTTCTGCTGTATAAACACAGGCATTCCTTAACCAACTAATTGAATATAAATTGCTTGTGGAAACAAGTCCAGATTTTGTGAATTATAATTCTTTATCCAATAGGAACAAAAAAATTATTCAGAATTATATGAAGATTGTTATATTTGGTATCACGTTGTTTATTAAGGTAAGGTTTTTTTGAGGGGTTTTAGAGTACCGCACATATATATCAAAAACTTGTAATTTCTTTTTATGTTGATAATACCTATTATAACCAATAAATATTAATTAATTAGTTTATTGATCACAGAACTTGTTGAAAAATAATTTATATATATACATACGTCCATTTATATTAACTGCTTCAATGATAATATTTCAATAGCCTTTGGACCTCCAGAAAGTGAGTTAATAACAACGGCTCTTTCAAAATTAAAACTTGTGGTATGTTTTATTAAATCGATATGGCTTATGTAATATGTAGTTACTATTTGTTGCTGACTTAGCCAAGTCTTTTTAAAAACTTGTTGTCACCTGATCACCACGTTGAGGTGCAGCAACATTGATCAGGGGGGAAGGGGAGAACGAAAGGGAAAGGGGAATACGAAAGGGAAAGGGGAATACGAAAGGGAAAGGGGAATACGAAAGGGAAAGGGGGATACGAAAGGGAAAGGGGAATACGAAAGGGAAAGGGGAATACGAAAGGGAAAGGGGAATACGAAAGGGAAAGGGGAATACGAAAGGGAAAGGGGAATACGAAAGGGAAAGGGGAATACGAAAGGGAAAGGGGAATACGAGAGGGAAAGGGGAATACGAAAGGGAAAGGGAATACGAAAGGGAAAGGGGAATACGAAAGGGAAAGGGGAAAACGAGAGGGAAAGGGGAAAACGAGAGGGAAAGGGGAAAACGAGAGGGAAAGGGGAAAACGAGAGGGAAAGGGGAAAACGAGAGGGAAAGGGGAATACGAGAGGGAAAGGGGAAAACGAGAGGGAAAGGGGAATACGAGAGGGAAAGGGGAATACGAGAGGGAAAGGGGAATAGGGTAATACGTGAGGGAAAGGGGAAAACGGGAAAGGAAATACGAAAGGGAAAGAAATACACAAACATACACACACCACCCACACACAACCCTACATACTCTCAACCCACATACCTAAAGGAAGACGTAAAGAAAGGAGCCTAATAATAAAGAGAAGACCTAGACAGAGAAAAGATAGACCTAAAAAAAAAAAGATAAGAAGACCTAAAAAAAGAAGACGAAAAAAAAAGAAGATAAAAGATATATTTATGTTATTTAAATTATATACTCGATTATTCATGACGAAACTCACATCATGACTCATATGAGTAATTATTTTTAACTTATATTGTACGACGTCACGTGCTGGACGGACATTTTAGTGTTGATCTTAATAACCAAAATCAGTTAAAATTATCTTAATTTTAGAATGATTTTATCTCTTCGTTTTTGATGATAAACATTTACCAATGAAAAAAAATATACGGTAATTGTAGAATTACCGATTTTATTTCGGAATAATTTATTTATAGTTAAAATTAAAAGATGTTAAATATTGCAGATAATTTAGGAGTAGTTAGTGTATGGAAAATGTTGTTTGAGGACGATGAGCTACAATGGGTACAAGGAGAATTTGGAATGTTAATTCAATAGGGATATGGAAAATGGTGTATAATTTGGTGAAAGATAATAATTTGATTATAGTGATGAATAAAGTAAAGGTCCACTCTGATGATACAGGAAACAATATAGCAGATTCATTAAGTAAACAAGGGTTGAATGAAAAGGATGATGATTACCGAGTGTATATTAATATCGATAGTGAGACTTCGTGGGAATATATGGTGTATTGGAAAGGAAATATTACGAGAAAGTTCAAGAAATTCATGAAAAAATATAATCAAGTTAAATGTAAAGCGGAATGGTTGTGAATAGATCATTGAGAATGAATATTCAGGATATGGATATGGAGTGGAGATCGTCAGTACAGATAATTTAAAAATGAAATATTGTGGACTAATAATGATCGTACAGCGTATAATATTAGAAATTTTACCAGTAATGGGTTATTAAACAAAAGAAATCCTGAAATTTATACGCGTAGCATATGAATTAGGTGCAATCGAACGGTTGAAATTGGACGCACATATGGATCTGCAAAGAAAACGAAACCACGATTTCTCAAATCATTAATGAAGCGTTTAAAAGATTAAATAATAATCTAGAAAGCAAGGATCTAAAGATAGATTACCGACTCCAGATGGAGTTACTCAATATTTTAGATGATAGATCGAAAATCATATTTAATGGACGAATCTTTCATGAAGCTATCAAAGGCATAATTAACCAACGCTTAATGGGTAGATCTCAATATATACGATACAAAGAGGGAAACTTTATTGAGAGATGTGTATACGTCTATATTATAATTGATTATTGTGTATACTGTAGTTATTATAATACTAATAAAGTTTTATATTAAAAAAAAAAAAAAAAATATTGAAAAACCTTTCTTTTTTTGTAGTGCTCTAATAATCTTACGATTTATTATGTCAATCATTAGCATTTCAGCCAAAAAAATAAAAAATTTTAAGCAAAAAATATTACTTCTATGGTATCCGACCCATTTAGTTATCTAAATTTAAAAGTAAATAAACCGAAAATAATTTCTCAATAAAAATGATCAAATTGAAATATCCCTGAAAAAATTTGACTTGGGTTTCTCACTATAAATTAATAAAAATTCGTTTATGTAATTATCGAATAAAGAAATTATGTACGTGACATTTAGCAAATTTCCGTTAAAAAAAAGACTAACTTAAATAATTTATAATTCAAAAGATTTTTTAATCCTATAGGCGATTAAAAAAAAAGGCTTAAATACCACTTTTATTTCTTTTGTTCGATCAGTGATATCTTTTATTCCAAAAGTTAATTCTGTACCAAATGGATTCCTATGCTTGAAGCTGAAGATTTACAGAAAAATGAACAACCTTCACATGAAAACAAAAAAAGTCATAATGATTTTTCAAGATAATATATAAATATAGCATATTTTTTATTACAATCTCATTTAATAACAATAATATTATTAATTAAAAATTATTTAATATGACCAGCTGTTAAATCGAGGTGACAGAAATTATATTTAACAATCATGTTTTAAAATATATTATGACCTTAAGGAACAATAAATTATTTTGTAATATAACGAGTGTTTCTTATCAATAAAATTACTAATTTTTTTTTAAAAAAAAAGATATATCTTTTTTGGTTTAGTCAAATTGAAATAATAAAAGTAATATACCAATAACAAAATTTGACATTACTTAGTAAAATATATGCGAAGTAAAATTGTATTGTAACGAACGATCAATCACGTGACAAAAATTCGGCCTAATCACGAGGTGACGATCAATGTTCGAAATGTTGCATATGTTGCATATATGAAACATATCAAATATATGCAACATATCAAATATGTTCAATATATCAAATATGTTTAATTTATTTAATAAATGCAATATGTTAGATATTTTTAGTCTAGTATTTTTACATATATATAGACCTGTAAAAGAAGAGCATTAAAATGTATCGGTTGATTAGGATTTAATTAATAAAAAAGGTTTATCTTTAAAATATACACTTTGATTTTTGAGTTTTGCTAATCTGTGACCTTTATTTGTATCTGAGTGTATGCACTAGTGTTGAGTGATACATTATTTACATCTGATCGGTTCAATTTTAGCGTTAACGACGATCCATTAATTATAACCTTCTGCCTAAACCCAAAATATAAATTTATATACATAGCTTAATCCTAAGCATACAAGAACTGACTTCTAACAATTGGTGCCTTCTGCCAGAATCCTTAACACCCCTGCCGACCCAAAGTGTATGTTTGTAGCGCATTTTCAAAGAAATATTAACCACGATAGATTACATCAAGACCTAAGAAGCCCTAATATCACCTATCGTCATCGTGACAGATCCTGCAACCACTGCTACCCACCCGAACTATTATTATCCGACAACTTTAGTACCTTTTGGGACTGGTACAGTTCGGAATACCCAGCCATAACCTATACTCGGTACACTCAACAATATTTGGAGGAGCTATCGTACGTCGAAGGAGACGACATTTGGATAGCTATAATTGATTTGATTTTTAGTATTAGGTATTCAGATACACCTACTCTAAGTTTTGAAACCTTACAACAAGAGATTTGGAACGCTTATAGTATTACCCAAGGTTTTCGCTTGGATATATTTATAATTGCCTACAATTATAGTGAGATTAGTCTTTCAATAGCACCAGTTTCAGAAGAAGCTACACCGAACCAGAGGACTCAAACACACAACGGATAACCCAACAACCCGATAACATGGCACAGCCTAATCAGCAAGATTTTCAACAACTACGAGCTGCTATTACCGCTTTGACCCAAGCGTTGCCAAACACTAACAATGCGTTAGTCGGGAATACCCAAGCAATCACTAACCCGCCGCGTAGAGAGGGAAGGATGGCTGAGTTACCTTACTTCTATGGGGGAAACCAGGACCCAATAGCATGGTTAGAAGACTTTACTCGATCATGCAATGCAAATGGGATAGCAAATGGCCGAAAATTGGAGGTTGTACCAGCCTATCTCAAAGGAGCCGCCTCCACTTGGTGGAATGCCAATCAAGCGTTACCGAATAATGATCCGAATAAAATTGTTGCATGGACTGGCGACAATAATAATACTGATTTCATCCAAAATTTCCCTACAGCTTTTAGAACGCAAACCTTGATCAAAATCTGGACTACGGAATTGGAACAAAAGTGACAACAGCCCGGAGAAGATGTCAACACGTATGCTGCTGCTTTACAGGAACTTTACAAAAGAGTAGAAACCAACGCTTTCATCTATCCCGAAGCTATCAAAGCTAGAAAATTCGTCAATGGATTGTTGCCAGATTTATATGTTACAGTTAAGCCGTATAATGATCAAACGTGGAATGGCGCAGTAGATAGAGCTAAAGCCTACGAACTGACCCATCAAGACCAGCATGCTGTTAACGCCTATTTAAATAAATTTGCTCCCACCGGCGTAGACAAACAAATGGAAAATTTACATAAAGCAATTCAGGAGTTGACGAAGCAAGTGCAACAGTTATCTACCAGAAATAATGGGAATAGAGGCTATAGAAGTGGCTATAATAATAATAGCCAATGAGGTGCTACGCAACCCAATAATCAAGCTCAGCAAAATCCTGCTATGCAAAGTAGAGTGATTTGTTACTTCTGTGGGCAACCAGGACACATCGTGAGGAGTTGTCCCAATCGGAATAATAACACGGCGCCCGCTAACAATAACAACAGTGGTAACGATAATGACGGTAGTAATAACAATAACAATCGACGCCCCACGCCTCAAGCAACTGGTACTATCGATAATCAGCTTGCCCAGATTCATCAGCTACTAACCCAATTAGTATCACAAGAAGAGGAGAACAATCAGTCTTTAAACTAAAAGGCGTACCTCAGGGGGGTGAGAGTACTAGCCTTAAGACAATTCCCTCGAATCTCACATTATTAGAAACTTATCCCGCAACGAGAATCACTAGGAGTAAGGCAAGACATAATCCTTTACAAGGAACAACAAAAATTAATACGGAAGAGGATGAAAATATTCCTCAATTAAATCAAACGAAAAATAAACCAACGGTAAAGACTGTAGAGTCAAAGAAAACCGAAATAAAAAAGGCAACGACCAGGATCGTTAAGAAGAAATCGCCTATCGTCGCTCCAGTTAATAAAATGGTCGAACCCTACACACTTCAACAGTTTTTCGATCAGCCCGCTAACATCACGAACGGACAATTATTAGCCCTAAACCCTAAGTTTGGCTTAACCATCGCCAAACAATTAAGAAAACCTGTTGTTCGGAAAAAAGACGAGGAACAAGAAAAAAGGCCAATCAAGAAATCTACAAATAATGAAGCCCCAGAAGAAGAAGCTGCTCCTGAAATACAAGACCTTATGCAAGTGAATACTGCTCGACCAAATAGTGACAAAACATCTGCACTATATTGTGAGGCTTTGATTAAACATATACAATTTCCTTTAATTGTGGATTCTGGATCTGCCGGAAGCATCATATCATTATCATTGTTAAAGGATTTAGACATGGAAATAACACAAGCGTCAAAAACGATAATGGTAAATGTTAACGGTGAACGAAGGAGACCATTGGGCGCAGTAACAAACATTCCTTTAATGATTCAAGGTCTTACCATACCAATGGATGCTATTGTTACAGATGCCGATTCGTATTCTGCTATTGTAGGAAACGATTGGTTGCGAAAGACCAAAGCCGTTATTGATTATAATAAGAATAAGATGATTATTGAATGAAAAGAAAATGTCATTGAAGTTGCAACTGAATGTCAGGAAGTGCCTCACCACATTGTAAGTATTGAAGCACCTGAAATCGAAGCAGTAGATGATGATGATGAACCTATAGAGGAATCCGAGGAAGAATACGAAAGCGATGATGAAGATATCCAGGAACAAATGTTTTGTAATACACAGTTTATAACACAAGAAAAAGCACAAGAAATTGAAGAACATTTGAAGGAAGATTTATTTATTGAAAATGAATACTTCTACCAATATAAAGAGGTAGAAAAAGGAATGTTCCATACAGGAGAACTAGATGATATACAACAACGAACATTCAAAGAATTTATGGATAAGCATAAAAACTTATTCTCTTGGGATTCGGATGATTTCGGATGAACTACAGCGATTACGCATCATATCAACACTAGAGACGCAGTACCGATCAAGCAAAGATTCTATCGAACGTCCTATAAAAACCAATTGTTTATAAAGGAAGAAATACAACGACTTTTGAAAGCCGGATTGATAGTTCCTTCCAATAGT